TCGTCAGACTCCAGAGCCATAGACTCCACCCTCTCTGGGCTGTCCAGGAGCTCCTGTAGCTCTGATTGGCTCAGGTCCTGGAGCTTCTCCATTTGATTTGCCAGGACGGCTGTCCGTCATACAGGAACCAGGAAATAATAGTTAAAAACAATGTTTGAGAACTTTTGTACTTTAATGTTATTAATCTTGAGTAGATTATTAGTCACCGACTTATCAAGCCATTGTTGACAACTCAAGACCAACAAACCATGTAACCTGCAGCCACTCCCTTTATAAAATAAACACCATGTTCATAGTAAGGTTATATGACAACGGTGGGCATTTAAAAAAAACAGAAGTGATAGTAACACATTTAGAATGCAATATTTTGTACACACTAATTGTTAGCTAGCATATTAAAGTAATACTATCGAGGACTGTAACTTAGGCCACAACAGAACAAGCTGTCCAGACGAACACTGGTCACAGTGAAGCAAGAAAACAGGAGAAAATGACCTGGTACTTACACGATGCTAGCAAACCAAACTCAGCCTGACACTGACTGGCGGTGACATCCAACACCACCTATTTCTTTCCACTGACAGGTGACGTGACACGTCCTCAGGATCTCCGACCTGTCCTGGCAGAACCCAGCTAAATGAGAGGATACCGAGTCGTTTTCGACGCACTGTGCCTGCTGAGCTAGCTAGCTACTCGACCGACGTCCAATCCAACCCGATGGTTCCGCGTTGAGCAATCTAAACACAACAACAGTCGGTATGATCGCAATGTCAGGCACTTAGCCACAGCCAACTTCCAGGGAAGCCCAGCGATTAGGCGATCAAAAACGCAGCGTAGAATGACACCGCCCGGTTCAGATGAACACTGTCAAACGTCTCTGTGTTCCGAGAATGCTTACTTTACCAAGCAGACGACGGCAGTCGACAAAATATGTTGGATACTGACTGGATTTTCTCTAAAAATAGGAAAGTTTCACTCCACACTGACAGAAACCGCCGCCATTTCAGGGACCATCCACGTTCCGTTGTTTGGGGGGGTGATCGGACAAAATTTAAATGTTCTAAAACAGCACTGGTGAACTTTAAAGAACCCCCGATTCATGGTTCTAAACGTTTTGAATACTTACTGTTCCCGACACATTTAGGTGCTATTATTTTAACTGAGCCAGTTTTCCCTCTGGTGTCCCCAGATCGCAGTGTAATGGTGGGGTCCTGTGCTCAGCTGATGTAAGGGAAACCCCTATGTGACGGTCATATTCCATCTACTGCTGCCAGTGTGCTACCAACACTTCTGTCAGACAGAATCTCTGTCCCTGTTCTGCTGGAGGAGCTGCACGCCACTGCTGTCTTTAGAAACGAGGATCGCTGTGTCTGGAGACTTTGAATAACACTTAAACTAAACACACAAAACGATACGATATTCCACCAAATGGGTGCCATTTGGCTGTTGTCACCCTTCCAAAATAAACTTCACTTTTGATGTTTTTTCAACAATGAATCTAATAACACACACATTAAACTATTTAAAATATGTAATGGCCACTCTCAGGCGAATTTATTTAAACTTTGCAAGGTTTGTAAGCGGAAGATGGCTGCATTTCTCTCTGCTTAAAACTTATGTGTCATTTTGAAACCATGTTTAAAAGCAAGTCAAATAATTCCTTTGTTTTTCCCTAAAGAAAGTGTTTATTTTAAATAAATTGTTGGTTACATGTTCAAAAAAATGAATATTTGTGACAAAAAATGTACTTTATATGCATGCAAGTTGTATTTTTCTAAAAAAAATGCATCACTTTTTAGTTTTAAAGGAGACAGAAACCTCAGGTTCATCAATGTTTTTATCATGTAATTTATTAAACAACTGGATAAATGACTGGCCAATCATAATAGAAAAAATGGTAGTTTATCTTATTTTTTATGAAATATACCAAATGCAAAGAAATGCATGGTACCAATGGATGCATAAGGTCATCTAGTTTCATATGATAATAGTATCTTCACTCTGGATTTTGAATAGAGCCCATGAAAAATATGAAAGATCCCCCCTGGGCACGGTCCTAAGGAGGTGAAGAGAGTGTATTTGAGTAACTGGACTGAAAGTAACAGGACTGAGTTTTTAGCATAGAATTAGCAAATACATGAAATATATTGACATGGCGTCCATTCTAATAGCACAAGGACAATGAGCACCTTCTAGTGATTCACCACAAATTTGTATTTTTAAAATAAACAATTAAGTCTAAGTGGTGGCGCGGTTAGCACGGTCGCCTCACAACAAGAAGGTCGTGGGTTCGAACCCGTCCTGGCTTTTCTGTGTGGAGTTTGCATGTTCTGTCCGGGTGTTATGGCTTGCTCCCACTGTCCAAAGTCATGCGGGCTAATTGGTGCCCCTAAATTGTTCTTGGGTGTGAGCGTGACTGGTTTTTGTCTATGTGTGGTCCTGCAATGGATTGGCAACCTGTCCAGGGTGTACCCCCGCCTTTCGCCAGATGTCAGCTGGGATTGGCTCCAGCCCTGTATGCAGATAAGCAGTTGACGATGGATTAAGTCTAAAAAATTATCTAACACCTTTTGAGCAGTTTCCCATTACTGTTAAACATACAAAATGGGCAATAACATTTGGACAACTTAAATTCAAGTCCAAAAGCACACTTCCATTCCAAGCAATAAAACCCAGAAGGCAAGAATCCAGCTAGCATGAATGATGCTGTTATTGATATTAGCAGGTATAGTTTGATATGCTACTAGTAGTAGCACAAGCAGCAGTCATGGTTTTTGTAGACTATTAGAACTTGTCCTAGGCTCTCTAAATGTAGTTTTAGAGTATCAGGACTTAAAGCAAGGAAAGTATCTGTACCTGAAATATGTTAGGAGTTTAAGAAAGGGGGTTCACGATTATGTTTTTTTTAAGCTACGGTAAGCATCATTGGAGAACTAGCAACAGCAACTACAATTGAAAGTGTCCATATGACACGGTTGTCTGTTAACTGTATCCTAGTCCAAGCACAACTTTCAGAGCCGTAAAGAATATCCAGTAGACCAACGCTCAGTCCCCTGTTGGTCTCTAAACATAACAGGCCTACTGATGTCAAAGGATTGCCAAATGAGTCCAAAGAATTGAGGCGATGATATGAAAACAAAACAACCTATTCATAACAGCGCTTTTTCATAGTAGCTGACACATCGCTGAGCCACAGTGTGAACAAAGTTTTTTTATTAATAAAAGTATGTAGGTAGTGTAGGGTTCCTTATGGGAGTATACCACATGCCACAGTAAAAATACACAAGAATATTTTCCATAATAAAGAAATACTTTCATATATTTTTTAATTCTAGCACAGTGCCAGAGAACGTTAAGCCCCGGAGGTTTTTAGCTCATAACAAGAACAGAAATTCTGGTAGAAGACACAGCAAACATGTTAAATGTCAGCAGGCTTGTATGCTGTGTCTTTGTTCTCAGCATCCTGTACAGATGCCCTAGTGAGAAAAAAATGCACAAAGCACACCACTGGACCTTTTTCAGGGTTCTTATTCAGGGTTTTTAATTCTATGAAAGAATGTAAAATGTCTTTTCCTTAGTTGTATGGAGTTTCAATGCCTATTTTAGGCAGTTGTTTGGTTCTATGTGCACTGTATGGTTACTGCTATTAGCAAGTGTTTCCAGCAGGCAGCATATTTTAAAGCAGCTGTACAAAGTCAGAGTGTGTGTGCAGATGTGCAGCATCAGATGGCAAAAACACAGTTACAGATTAGCTTGTGAAGAAAGTCAAATATCTAGCAGCTGAAGAGCCAAACCAGAGCTTAAAGACAGAGAATACTGGACTGAATGCTATTGTTGCTTTGAATCAGTTGCTTATTTTTTGCTCTTATGCGTAGGGATTTGGAAGTTCTACGGTTGGGAAAATGTAGTTCCAAAGGAAATAACTGTCTGATGGCAAGGTAAACTTGAACTGATATACATTTTTTCTGGTGGGCCTTCTTTCAGGTGTCTAAAATACATTAGCTGCTGACTCTGTCCACAGCAGTAGGTTGCTTAGCTTATGTGTCGTAAAATTCTCTGCTTCTCCAAACTGGGACACACTGACCACCATCTACTGAGGTAATAACACTGACTGTGTTGCTTTTAGTACGGTGATGGACACAGAAACTTAGCTTAGTGTGAAAACAGGAAGAAGGTTTAGCGTTTAATTCATACACAAACAGAGTAAAGTAAAAACTAGAATGTGTGCTTTTAGTAGGAGTTAACATGTTAACTGAGCTTTAGAGGTGAAGTTTGCTGCTTCCAGTCTTCTGCACTGGGTTGCACCAACTATGTGTATGTTCAAAATTAGCCTAGTTTGAACGTAATTTCTAAGTCGGAGTTTACGTGCTACTAACGTTTTAAGGGTTGCACCAGCTGAAATACGTCCAACGTAGACATAAGTTACAACTTAAATCTTACACCTAGTCCTTAATAGGTGTAAAGTCCCCATAAAATAGTCAAGTGGTTGTCATGGCGCATCGTTTTCAAAGGGGGGAGGGTGACTGGGATCAGGAGGAGCAAATTATACCAGGCTCTTCTGCTTAACTGAGCGCACACAGCCTGGATGACAGCTCATTTCAGTTAATGAAGCAAAATGCAGATCACAGACTGGTTAAAATGAAGGTATGAATTGAAAATGTGCGAAATTAAGAGTAGATTACATGCCAAAGAAAATATTGGATTAAAGAGTAAAAATATAAATAATAAAGGAACGTGAAAAGGCAATGACTTATTTTTATTTATTTTTTTTGCAAATTTGCGTAAAGTTACTTGTAACAAGTTACTCCCCACCCTGCTGCAGGCGCCCTCACTGTTGTCTTCAGGTAGGCTGTAATAACAGTAGCACAGAAGAAAAGTCTGTAATATTGAGGCACTTAGCTGCCTTCAGCAAACTCGTATTTTTTCTCCCGTAACTTTTCAGCATCTCCTTTGCGTTGCGTCGGATGTTTTCTATAGGCCTAACTTACACGTTTTTTGTCCGTTTTCAACCGTTTAATTATGTCAGATGTGGAGTGATTGATTGACTAGCCACTCATAGTAAACCTTCTCGCCTAGCCAACTCCAAAATCACCAGAGAAAAGGGGGGGGGGGGGGCTCAAACATAGATTTTGAAATATGAGGGCATAATAGTATATAAATATATAAGTTATGTTACAATTTCATATGCCCGTTACACTTTCGTTACACTACGTTTGTTTCGGGCTCCGTTAAATTACGTCTATGTTGTAGTTAACAGTTTTACCACTCGATGTCTCTGAGACTAGCCGTAGATTAAGGTTTCATAGTTATCACCTAATCATAATTATTTCCTTGTATAGGTCCCTTTTTGTTGGTTTGTTGCTATTTTTAGCGTTAGCCTTTTCAGTATTGCAAACGTTGAAAAAGAGAGAGAGACAAACAGATGACAAAACCTAATAAACTAATAGTAACTAGTTTCAACATATTGTTTAGTGTGGACCCCTAACTTAAGGTAGAACTTACGTATTGCTGGTGCAACAGGCTGCTGTTTCTTAAATAGTGCCTCTAATGCTACAGGCTTCTTTTGACCGTATAGCATGATTAAGTCGCACACGCAGCAGCCAATTAAGTCACTTGGCATGGGTTGTATTGCACCCGACCAACAATGGATTTTAGAGGCCGATATTGATATGCTATTTTTAAAGACAGAAGATATATATCGGGCAATAATATTTTGAAACATAACATCAATAAACTACTGTATCTTAATAAGGATCACTTAAATGTTTTATTTATTGATTAACTGATTTTGTGATTGACATTTTACAGTGTAAAAATCAGCTTGTCAGAGCTGTCTGGTGGACAAACTGTTTCTAAATTACCTCAAACCTACTTTGGTATTTCTGTACTAATGTTTAGGGTTATTGATCCGACCACATATACACTGATATATTATAATATAAATATTAATGATGATTTAAAAATAACTTTATTTTCATGTATTATCTTTAACATGAATTTCCTTGAAAGTTAATTTCTGTTTGAGCACTTAGGCTCAGTGTGTGAATGTGAGTGAATGGTGAATGCAGATGTAGTGTAAAAGCGCTTTGAGTGGTCGAAAAGACTAGAAAGGCGCTATACAAATACATTTACATACCGAAACAACAAAATGGGTCGTTTGTCATTGCCTCACAAAACGACATATATGACCATTGGAAAGTACCAATCCAGGAACAGGCATACTGGACCTTCACTACGTGACATAATCACGTGACGTTGTAAAATATTTCATCATCTATTTACTGACTATTTAATTCTGTGCTAAGAACTTATTTCCTGCCGGCCACTGCTGTGATGTCAGACTCTATGATGTCAGAACACATTTTCATCCGTACTATGAAAACTCCAAATCCACTAAAAGAGAAATCTGCTTTTAAACATTTGTAAGGGAAAAACAAGTGGTTTTCAATTCAGCTGCTGATAAGGAGTTATTCACCATGTATGTGTGTATTAGTCTCTTCTGAGGGCTTTGAGAGCAGAGACAGACAGGAGGCAGTGCAGGACCGCAGCCCAAGTGTCATGCAGCAGCAGCAGCAGTGTCACACTCCAGCAATAGGCCTGCAGGAGACAAGAAAACGCATCATACACACACACTGAAGTGACTAACTACATCTCCTTCTGCAATAACTTACATTACATAATCTACTTAACATAATCCACTTTTCCTTATCTCTCTATTTTTATTTTTCCTAGGAAAGAAAAGTTTGATAAAAGAAACACACTGACCTGCAGAAGCTCCCCAGGACACCCATAACTTGAATGTCGTCCGTATTCATGGCCAAGAGAAACGTACACACACAACTCTTTTTTGTGTAAAATGATGAAGCTGTAGCAGTAGAGGCAGAAGGCGAGCAGCGCCCCCAGCAGGCCAACCACATTACTGCATGCACAACTCCGAAGCTGTGGAGGGGGGCAGTCAAGATCCATCACTGTGCACTTCGAAACACCCATACACTGGTTATATTGTAGTAGTCTTATTATTATTACAAGTAATGTAATATCACAAAAACATGGCCTGACACTTAAGTTATTCCTTGGGCTGACTATGAATATCATGAATGTGAAATTCTTAAATTACACATTGTAACACTTGAGCTTACATGACATCTTATTGCTTACAAAATATTTTGTGGAATGTGAAATAAAAAACCTTCAATACTGTAAGGGCTAAGTTTTTAGCCTAAATGCTGTTAGAATGGAAATCTTCTATGATATTTCTATGCTGGGCAGATCCTATGTGAACATACCAGTAGTCTGCTGGGGTTCCTCTCATTGGCCATGGTGAATGATCCTCCTGCCACAATCTGCACACACATATGTGATATTGAGGTTGAGCTCTAAAGCAAAATGCTTATGCATTGTACATTGATTTGAGTTATATTTGGCTATTGCATTCTTGCCTTATAATGGACTGTAATGTTGTATAAAGTCATATGTGAATGCTGACAATCTGCAAGATCAGATTAATATACCTTTTGGTAAATTTGACCCTTTCTCCCCCATGTCATTAAAGACTCTTTTAAGAGTGATACAATGTTTACAGTAGCATCATTTATGAAATGCTTTTTCTATTCTGTGCTTAAGGTAGCTGAAACTAACAATAGACTAAGAATTAGAATAAGAATACATACTAAAATTCCTAAGACAAGTGGCAGTATGTAGAGCTTTGGCAGAGTTTGGTCAGCATAAGCTAGCGGGACAGACAGCAGCACCTGGAACAGCCCCAAAAGGATGGTCACCACCTACACAGAGGCACAGATTTGGAATTACACTCTAGTTAGTAATAATTTATAGGAAGTTAGACTTTGAATTCAAATAAAGTCAACGTCCTGATCTCACCGCAGCACTTTCAGGGTCAAACCAGGCGAAGAGTCGATGTAACCTGGTTTCACCTGCTGGCACTGTCCCCTCAGAGGACATGTTACTGCAAAACACGAAAGCCCACTATTGTTAAAATCAAACCAAATTTAATCCACTTTGGATTACATCAATATTAACACATAAACAAACATCAGAAATTTCACGCGTTGTCACCAGCCAAGTGAACTCTCCCTCAGTCCCCAGCCCTGTAACCCAAAATTCTGATCTTCAGAGATTGTGCTCCTGTAACAGTGCATTAAGATATCAGCAGAGGATGGAGAGGCCTAGTTAGAAGACTACAATGCACAAATAGGATATACCGGATAAAGATTAAAGGTGGGTTAAGCAATTCTAATCCAATCTTTTTGTCAAATACAGCAAATATCTCCTCACAGACCACTAGCTGTCCATTCTGTGCGGTGCTGAAAAACACTCAGCCTTGGCTCTGCAAATGGGAAACAAACAAAATGGCCCACACCCTGCCAAACAACACTATTCCAGTCGCCCCAGCCATGATGTGTGTGTCAGAAATGTTTAATGACTTGCCCAAGGACATTCAGCTTACTTTCTAGTAACATGCTGTTGTTTTGATGTTAGTAAGGCCCTATGATTTAAGTCATAGACGGAATGGCTCCTCCACACACACACTAACACACACACACACACAGTCATATTGAAGAGTCAGCGTGCTAGCAAGAGCTTGTCACTTCAACAAACTTTCAGAAGTGCAACATGCTAGCTCGTTAAAGACTTCGTGGCTGTGTGGCAGTCAGACATTCTGTTCGAGTCCGGTCAAGCTTTGTAAACAAGGAGGAGCGCTGCCACGTGAGAGTAGCCTCCATCAGATGTACTTACACAGTGTGTTCAGCAGCAGAATAGCTGTCAAGTAGTAACAGTTTGATAAATGACAATTCACAGTACATGTACTGCAACAATGCATTCATTTTGAATTGTCCTATTGAATAGTATTGTAGTATTTTATATCCTACTGTTGCAATACATTTTTTGTATTGGAGCTGCTGTGCTGGCTCTGGATCGTCTTGTCCTCTCTGCATATTATCTTAATATTAGCTGTGCAGCAGCAGTTGTAGTCAGTTTGTTAACCCACAATTTAGCTAACATTAGTTACATTACTCGCTGTGTCATTGTTGTGCTCTGTATCGTGGTATTTGTCATGGTGTTCGATTTCTCCAGAATCACATATTCCACCTTTAAGGTCCATAAATTACAGTGTAAATATTACGCACATATCAGGTGGCAATGAAATAGCTACAGGGTATTTACTGGTAGGTAGAAGTAACAATTTTCCATTTAGGAGCGACCTAGAAAAAAAATGTAAATACTTTGTCAACTACCCAGTACATATAAAATAATTGCAGGGTAATTATTTAATTAACGAATAGCACTATTCTTTACAATAGAAAAGAGTAGAATGTGTCCAATAAACCCAAATAAAGTTTGTTTGAGTGCAAGATCATACTTTATGATGTGATGATATGACAGCACATAAAAGGTGATTCTTTGACATTGGCTTTAACCCTGTTCCTAAACTTAACATTTGTTTGTTCCCCATTATTAGAAACACTATATTAATCATTTTGAGGGTGTGCTTTAGCAGTCAGACATGTGACTTGATGCAGAACCTGCTGTGTTATTATTTTCTACTGATATTCCTTCCCAATGTACACAGTACAGTAAATGTAACAGACCGAGCACCTGTTGAAATGTAAAAGCCTTGCATTAAACAGTTTGTCAGGATGTTTGTCCCTCTTATTTAGGGTAGATAAAATGAAAAGTTATTTAGGGTAGATAAAATGAAAGGTTGAATCAAAATTGGTTTGACTGCAGGAATATAATCTTTTCCAAAGAATAAATGTTGTCAATAGCGAATAATGTTAAATGTTAATGTTAAAAAAACATAATCAGAGAGAAAGAGTAGCAGACTGTACAAGAAAAGACATGAATAGAGCCAAAGAACAACAGAGGTAGACCACATGATCATGAGACACACCACTGGAGAGGGCAAAGAACAGTGGGAAACCATTGAAACTAAGTAGCATGTGTGTTGTATCTGTTTGGACAGGGGGAAGGGATTGAGAAATAGAGAACAAAATGAGGTACAGAGAGAGTGTGTTAGTTCATCAAAACCACATGTCACAATCCTCTTAGGAAAGACAGGAATGCAGCAGGATGAAAAGCAGATGTGGTGTGAGGAAAGGAGGACAGGGAGAGAAAGAAAAGAGTGGGGACTGAGGGGGATGGGGGTGGGGTGGTATATTGATAAGGCTCTGTGGAAATGAGGGGAACATTTTGTGCACCACTAGTCTAAAAACAAAGTCATTATCCTTCATTTGATTGTATTTTCACTTAACCAGTGGATCGTTGTGAACATAACTAACATGTTTTTCCTTAATGGTTCAGTGCGTAAGTTTTAATAGCATCACGCTGCATTCACATGTTCCTGGAATTAACATGAACGCTACAACAAATATGTGTTGGATTAGCATTAGTTCACTCTGCATGGACAGCAAACTAACCATTATAACCATGTTACAAATTACATGTTAGGAAAATATTCTACTATTCTAATGGCAAAAATCCACATTCATAAATGTAATTTCAGCAGTAAAAAAAACGTAGTTTGTACTTTTCTCCATGAGGCTGTACATTATATCAATTTAATTTCTAAATCCAACCAAAACTTTCAACATATGGTCTTTATATAATATAGACTACCCCTGGCAAAGTTTTTATTATTCGTGTCTCATTATATATTAATATACTGTTCCGTATGTCCTGTTCTTTATGTCCTAGGTAAGGAGCAAAAAGAAATTCTGATTATTCCAACACCACATGAATACACCATCAGTCACCGCTCACCCCTCCATTTCAAACAAGCAAGTCTCTGTCGGCTCTTGTGCTCTTGTGTGGGCCTCCATTTGTCCAAATTTCACTTACCTTCTTACTTACTTACTAAACCAGACAACTACTACTACTACTAGTACTATTACTACTACAACTACTACTACTACTATACTACTAGTACTATTACTACTACTACAACCACTACTACTTGTTCTGCTTCTTCTTCTTCTATGTATTTAATGTAGTAACAAAATGCCCTCTGAAGAGCAGTTTGTCCATTTGGGCTACTGTATGAACATGGCGGCGCAACATGGCAACTTCCATATAAGAGAACCTGCGAGGTCTCATTCGAAGGTAATAATCTTTATACACCACAGCAAATAGGTATGTATATTATATGGCATTTCTGTCAATAGACCCTTTCAAATATTACACACTCTGGAACTTTAAAGGGGCTACAGTGGGTACGGAAAGTATTCAGACCCCTTTAAATTTTTCACTCTTTGTTTCATTGCAGCCATTTTCCAAAAATCAAAAAAGTTCATTTTATTTCTCAGTAATGTACACTCAGCACCCCATCTTGACAGAAAAAAACAGAAATGTAGAAATTTTTGCAAATTTATTAAAAAAGAAAAACTGAAATATCACATGGTCATAAGTATTCAGACCCTTTGCTCAGTATTTAGTAGAAGCACCCTTTTGATCTAATACAGCCATGAGTCGTTTTGGGAAAGATGCAACAAGTTTTTCACATCTGGATTTGGGTATCCTCTGCCATTCCTCCTTGCAGATCCTCTCCAGTTCTGTCAGGTGGATGGTAAACGTTGGTGGACAGCCATTTTCAGGTCTCTCCAGAGATGCTCAATTGGGTTTAAGTCAGGGCTCTGGCTGGGCCATTCAAGAACAGCCACGGAGTGTTGTGAAGCCACTCCTTCGTTATTTTAGCGGTGTGCTTAGGGTCATTGTCTTGTTGGAAGGTAAACCTTCGGCCCAGTCTGAGGTCCAGAGCACTCTGGAAAAGGTTTTCGTCCAGGATATCCCTGTACTTGGCCGCATTCATCTTTCCCTCGATTGCAACCAGTCGTCCTGTCCCTGCAGCTGAAAAACACCCCCACAGCATGATGCTGCCACCACCATGCTTCACTGTTGAGACTGTATTGGACAGGTGATGAGCAGTGCCTGGTTTTCTCCACACATACCGCTTAGAATTAAGGCCAAAAAGTTCTATCTTGGTCTCATCAGACCAGAGGATCTTATTTATCACCATCTTGGAGTCCTTCAGGTGTTTTTTAGCAAACTCCATGCGGGCTTTCATGTGTCTTGCACTGAGGAGAGGCTTCCGTCGGGCCACTCTGCCATAAAGCCCCGACTGGTGGATTGCTGCAGTGATGGTTGACTTACTACAACTTTCTCCCATCTCCCGACTGCATCTCTGGAGCTCAGCCACAGTGACCTTTGGGTTCTTCTTTACCTCTCACCAAGGCTCTTCTCCCCCGATAGCTCAGTTTGGCCGGACGGCCAGCTCTAGGAAGGGTTCTGGTCGTCCCAAACGTCTTCCATTTGAGGATTTTGGAGGCCACTGTGCTCTTAGGAACCTTAAGTGCAGCAGAAATTTTTTTGTAACCTTGGCCAGATCTTTGTACAATTCTGTCTCTGAGCTCTTCAGGCAGTTCCTTTGACCTCATGATTCTCATTTGCTCTGACATGCACTGTGAGCTGTAAGGTCTTATATAGACAGGTGTGTGGCTTTCCTAATCAAGTCCAATCAGTATAATCAAACACAGCTGGACTCAAATGAAGGTGTAGAACCATCTCAAGGATGATCAGAAGAAATAGACAGCACCTGAGTTAAATATGAGTGTCACGGCAAAGGGTCTGAATACTTATGACCATGTGATATTTCAGTTTTTCTTTTTTAATAAATTTGCAAAAATTTCTACATTTCTGTTTTTTTCTGTCAAGATGGGGTGCTGAGTGTACATTACTGAGAAATAAAATGAACTTTTTTGATTTTTGGAAAATGGCTGCAATGAAACAAAGAGTGAAAAATTTAAAGGGGTCTGAATACTTTCCGTACCCACTGTATATGTAGTTTTTCAATGAAAAAAAAAAAAAAGAAAAGTACTTCCTTTTGTCAAGGGGCTGTAGCCTCACTTAGAAATGAAGTGCACGCTTGTTTTCTCTGTTGCTTGCAGCAGCCACTATTCTGCTTTTTTATTTAATTTTAACCTGTCCTGCACAGCAGCCTGGTATACAGTATTAGGAGCTGGATACCACGTTGTTGCAGACAGATTTTACTTTATTAAGAGACTTTTAATATACTCCTTTGTCTGTTTTTTTTGTCTATGTGAGTATGTATGTGTGTCTTTGTGTGAGTGTATGTGTGTGTGTGTGTGTGTGTGTGTGTGTGTGTGTCTGTGTGTCTGTGTGTTTATGTGTGCATAAGCCTGTCACAGAATGTAATTGTTAGTGAGAGTGGGATGCCACAACAGCGCTGCACCAACCTGTGGAACCAGGTTCCAGTTTGGGTTCAGGAGGCAGACACCATCTCCACATTTAAGAGCAGGCTTAAGACTTTCCTCTTTGATAAAGCTTATAGTTAGGGCTGGCTCAGGTGAGTCCTGAACCATCCCTTAGTTATGCTGCTATAGGCCTAGACTGCCGGGGGATTTCCCATGATACATTGAGCTCCTCTCTCCTCTACTTTCTCCCTCTGTATGCAACCTCATCCCATTAATGCATGTTAACTCGACTTCTCCCCTTTCCAGTAGTCTTGTGCTTTCTCGTCCCCTCCCTCTCCCTTCCTATCACTTCCTGCAGGTGTTTCTGGCTCTGGAGCTGTGGAGTCTGGATCTGTGGTTGCGGGTCACCTGCTGCCCCCGTGTTCCTGCTCAACACCCTCTGCTACAACAACTATTGTTACTAGTCCTATTGTTCTCATTGTTATTATAATCATTAACATTATGATTGTTATCATTAACACTACTATACATATCTATACCATGCCCCTCTCCTTCACCCCAACCGGTCGAGGCAGATGGCCGCCCACCTGAGCCATGGTTCTGCACGAGGTTTCTGCCTCTTCAAAGGAAGTTTTTCCTTGCCTCTGTCGCCTAGTGCTTGCTCTTGGTTGGAACTATTGGGCTTCTGTAAATAACATCACAGAGTACGGTCTAGACCTGCTCTTTTATGAAAAGCGCTGTGAGATAACTGTTGTTGTGATTTGGCACTATATAAATAAAATTTAATTGAATTGAATTAAAAGGCAAATGTGAAGCAATTTGTTTATACTAGGCTATAGTGATACAAGGCAGGAGCAGCCAGCAACTATAGCACAGATCTACCACTCTTCGCAACATTAAATTAAGATTGGGTCAGTGAGGGAGCACAGGAGGAGCCACCAACGGTTTCATCTGCTCTTTAGACACAACAGTTGCCTGGGTCTTCATATCACTGTAAATGGACTTATTTTCTTTTTGACAACATCAGCGCTCCGCTGGATGCCAGATATGCGGCGGAGACTGTGCCTGTGATTTTAGACCAGTTAAGCGTTATGTGGATTTGGATTTCTCAACAGAGGTTTCAAACACCTCTAAGTCATCTGCTCCATTTTCAGGGTATGTTTCATAAAAAAGAAAACTACAAAAAAACAGCGATTAAAAGCCGTTTAGCTCGGTGAAATGAGAAAAGTGGCATCGGTTGCTAGGTGACAGACATAAAAGTTGATAACCGATGTTGGATTGAGTATTTAGGATTTCCTAACCTGAGATAAGAGTAAGATAAGAAAGTATTCCTAAAGTTAGTTAGGATTTGCTTCTGTTTTACCAAATTGGGGAAAAAAAATCTTTGACTCTTCCTCTCTTAGCTTAAGACTTAAGATAGGAACTTTCTGTAATACGGCCCCAGAAGTGGAGCGGACCCAGAATAACTCTCATCAGCTGTTAGCTGTAGTTAGCTGTAAACACTAGCAGGACTAAAGTTACGGCTGTGTTAAAACTATGGCACAACATCACTGTGCTGTAATAATGTTATGCTTTGTTAAATATCACAAAATGATCAAAACATATATATATATATATATATACACATATAAAATGTCAGTCCAGTGACTGTTACCTGAAAACCGACTTGCCTCTCATTCTCCGGTGCTGGCAGTAACTCAGCCTGCCCAGTGAAGACAGACTCTGAGGACCCATGTGAGTGGTGAACGATTAGTTCATTCCTGCTCCACAGTAGCTGCGATGTCAAGTGAAAAATGAACGACTCAAACCCAGAGACCCACAGTTATGAGTCCTGAACTAATCAATTCTGTTTCCCATGTAGCTGCCGTGTGACAAGTGTTGGTAAGAGTCCAAAACTATGAACGAATTACTCACTGAAACAACACGTTTCTCCTGAGTCACATACAAGATTAGGTCAAATGAACAAAATGTTCTTTGAACGATACAACACTAATCGGCGACCGCAGTCTACCGCATTCTAAAACACGGAGAGGGCTGTGTTAACGGTGAGTCGGTTTACATCAAGTTAATTACATGACTTAAATAATAATAATACTGCTGATAATAATAATAATAATAATAATAATAAAAACAGCCACAATCACTTCTCCTCTCCTGAAAACATTCATGACTTGCTAACCCTCCCGTTTTTCACTGCACTCCCCAGGCTTCCTCTCAGCTCACAGCAGTTTAATGTTACGGTAGTTGAGTGTTGAAAGCTACGCTGCTGACAAACGTTGTAGATTTCTTTCAAACAGTGTGGCAGTTCTAGCGAATAGTCCACATTTGTCCCTAGTTCATCACATCTAAATATTCTCCAAAATATTCCACGTACAGCAGCTAAGGCTGCATGTTGCTAAATTAGCCACAAAGCTAATGCCGTGTTTATCAGCGGAGGAGCGCTAACGTCGTAATAACCCATTAAACTATATTCTGACGTATTCTAAATATACCTGCGAGCCACCTGTCTAGGTCGGTGTGTCTGAAATGATTAAACCAGAGTGGACATGTAAATAAACGTTAGCTGAACAAGAAAATAACATGGCATCCTGTAGCTCCTCTTTTTGTGACGTAGATATGAAACGCTGTAGTCAGAGCTGTAACGGCTCTGGTTGTAGTTGTAGGTAAATAAAATCTCAAAGTTATAAACAGTCATGTAGTATTAGATGCATTCAGCAGCAGCTCACTGACTCATAGATGGCATGATTTATACCGATGGTGGGTAAGAAATGGTTTCTTGTAGCTTTGTTTAGACTTAAATAGTGCTGATAAAGGGAAGAACTATTACGTGATTTATTTATAATATTATGATTATGTGTAAAGTGAAATACACATTCGTATTCTCTCTTACTCTCTCTGTTTACAGTTGCACCTTCCAGCAGCAAATATTTATTGATGTGCAATTGTTTACATGTTCACTTTTTGAGACTGGATTATTTTCCCTTCTTGGATTTTTTCAGTTGGGTCACCTGGTTTGTTTGAACTGTTATTTTTGGATTTCCTGGACTCAGCCACTCATTGTAAGTGTGCTCGCTTTGTTTGTTAATAAACTTTTAAAACTGTACCAATCAGCCTACGTGTCCTGCATTTGGGTCCACCAACCTTTCAACCACACAACCCTGACATTGGAGGGTGTTATTTAATGTAATCACGTAGTGTTACGTCCACCTGCAAGTCAATCTCAACACGGAGTCTGGTAGCTGTTAGTGATGTAGCTAGCTAACAACGTTACTATAATTCTGATAAACAACCTAGAATAATCCATTAGCCAGCTAGCTAACTAAGTTAGCAAGCATGCATAACACAAACATATTTAATTATGCATGACAGAAGAGTAATCACATACCTGTGGAGAGCTCTATGTTGAGGCTGACCTGTGGGTAAAAGTAATGCCATAGATACAACATTGTGCAGCTCTCTTCATTGACCTATCTAAGGCTTTTGATACCATGGATTACACAGTATTAAAACAAAGACTTCAGTGTCAGATTATCAGAACAAACACTCTGCTGGTTTGGAAACTATCTGGTAGATTGCAGTGCGTGCAGGTAGACAGTCTCACCTCTAGCCCTCTTAGTATATCCAAGGGTGTGCCCCAGGGATCAGTGCTGGGACCACTCCTATTTATATGAAAAAACAACATTCTTGATCAAAATGTCTCCAAAGCAAATTTAAAATCTAGTTTATGACAAAACAAAACATATCTTGTTTTCCAACACAAAATTAAAGTCACTGAACCTTCCATCCATCACCACTTCTCAGGGCTCTGAGAGTGAGTCTGTATCTCAAAACAGGTATCTTGGTATCCTAATTGGTGATTTTCTCTCTTTTAAACCTTAAAACCATTAAACATTCAGCAACTGGTGAAAAAACTGAAGGTGACATTGGGTTTTTATTTTAGAAACAAGTTGTATTTTTCCTTTGAGGCCCAAAGGAGACTTTCTGCTGCTACTATTATGTCAGTGCTGGACTATGGCGATGATATATACATACATGCATCCATTCAAAGCCTGAAACTGTTAATAATCTTTACCATGGAGCTCTGAGGTTCATCACAAACATTAGAGCCCTTACTCATCATTGCTCCTTGTATGATCAGGTTGGTTGGTCTACATTGTACACCCGTAGACTTAATCATTGGCACATTCTTATTTATAAGGCTATTCTTGGTCTGCTTCCCCCAGACCTACAAATCTACATCCAAAAGAAAGGCACAGGAGTGGTCTTCATTGTCTTCATTCTGAGGACTTATTACTATTATCTGTCCCTCAAGTCTGGACTGTATTGGGAAAAGGGGCGTTTCAGTATGTGGCTGCGCTTGGAATCAGCTGCAAAATGTCCTGAATCTTCAGGAGCCGGTTTCACTGGTTGCTTTTAAAGTACTTTTAAATAACATGGAGGCTGGCAATTCTGGCTGTAGATGTTGATGTATGATGATTGATTACTTGGATGATCCTTGTTGTTTATTACTTAATTTTTTATATTTATTATCTTGTAACTTACTATTATTCCAATTGTAAATTGTGTTTAATGTTTATGTTGTATAAGAATCAGAAATTCTTTATTGATCCCCAAGGGGAAATTCTTATATGTTATAATGTCTGCAACCTTGTTAACTGTGCTGCAACCTGTCTTGGCCTGGACGCAAGACTTTTAATCTCAGTGAGTTTTTTTCTGGTTAAATAAAGGTAATATATACACACTGCTCAAAAAAATAAAGGGAACACTAAAAAAAATACATCCTAGATCTGAATGAATGAAATAATCTCATTAAATACTCCTTATTTACATAGTTGAATGTGCTGACAACAAAATCACACAAAAATTATCAATGGAATCAAATCTATCAACCCATGGAGGTCTGGATTTGGAGTCACACTCAAAATCAAAGTGGAAAACCACACTACAGGCCGATCCAACTTTGATGTGACAAGTCAAAATGAGGCTCAGTAGTGTGTGGCCTCCACGTGCCTGTATGAGGTCTGGGGAACGGGCCAGTCCATAGCATCAATGCCTTCCTCTTGCAGGAACTGCTGACACACTCCAGCCACATGAGGTCTAGCATTGTCTTGCATTAGGCGGAACCCAGGGCCAACCGCACCAGCCATATGGTCTCACAAGGGGTCTGAGGATCTCATCTCTGTACCTAATGGCAGTCAGGCTACCTCTGTGCAGCCCCCCCAAAAAATGCCACCCCACACCATTACTGACCCACCGCCAAACCGGCCATGCTGGAGGATGTTGCAGGCAGCAGTACGTTCTCCACGGCGTCTCCAGACTCTGTCACGTCTGTCACATGTGCTCAGTGTGAAACTGCTTTCATCTGTGAAGAGCACAGGGCGCCAGTGGCGAATTTGCCAATCTTGGTGTTCTCTGGCAAATACCAAAGGTCCTGCATGGTGTTGGGCTGTAAGCACAACCCCCACCTGTGGCCCTCATACCACCCTCATGAAGTCTGTTTCTGACCGTTTGAGCAGACACATTCACATTTGTGGCCTGCTGGAGGTCATTTTGCAGGACTCTGGCAGTGCTCCTCCTGCTCCTCCTTGCACAGGGTGGAGGTAGCGGTCCTGCTGCTGGGTTGTTGCCCTCCTACGGCCTCCTCCACATCTCCTGATGTACTGGCCTGTCTCCTGGTAGCGCCCCATGCTCTGGACACTACGGTGACAGACACAGCAAACCTTCTTGCCACAGCTCGCATTGATGTGCCATCCTGGATGAGCTGCACTACCTGAGCCACTTGTGTGGGTTGTAGACTCCGTCTCATGCTACCACTAGAGTGAAAGCACCGCCAGCATTCAAAAGTGACCAAAACATCAGCCAGGAAGCACAGGAACTGAGAAGTGGTCTGTGGTCACCACCTGCAGAACCACTCCTTTATTGGGGGTTTCATGCTAATTGCCTATAATTTCCACCTGTTGTCTATTCCATTTGCACAACAGCATGTGAAATTGATTGTCAATCAGTGTTGCTTCCTAAGTGGACAGTTTGATTTCACAGGAGTGTGACTGACTTGGAGTTACACTGTGTTGTTTAAGTGTTCCCTTTATTTTTTTGAGCAGTGTATTAAAAAACCCACACACAAATGCAATTAAGTTTACTTGTCATGACAAGCGATTTGTAATGCAAGTTCAACTGTTGTACAATAAATGTAACAACATTCAAATATGTTTTTGATGAAAATTTCAAATACTTTGAAATATATATATATTTGTGAATTTCTATTACATTTATTTAAAACAAGAAATATGTGTGTGCATAATAATTTTTCAAACATTATTTTATTTGTGGATTTGTTTTACATGTATTTACAGTGATGCCTATTTTTTTGGAGAACTGAAAAATACTTTTGTGGAGAGAGTCATTTATACATAAATCCCAAAATACATTTGTGAATCCTTCTGCAAGCATTCATTAATATGAGAGATGGATCTGACTTGACCGGTAAAAAGTCCAGAGAACAAGCAAGGAGTAAACATGGCTGCAGTACAGGGCTGAGAGAGTATCACTGGAAGACACCAAGTGCCAGATGGTGTCCTCACCCTGTCACTGACAGCAAAGGGTTTGACACCAAATATTTAAAGCTTTTTTGTAGTTTATGTTAATATATGTCCATTGCATTTTGTCACCTAAGATTGTGACACTACATGGACATATTCCTTTATCCTGTCATCTAATGTTTATGTAAACAAACTGGGAATAAAGGTCAAAGTTGGTGACTTCACTGTTCAAATCCACTGTGCCAAAACAACTGAAAATATGTCGCTGTCCTTTATGGACTGCACGAGCCCACTTCTTGTTTTCTGTTTAGCTTTCAAAAAACGTATCATTAGCAACATACAACATTTGAATCAAAATAGTGTTATAAAAAAGCAGTGGATGTTACTTACCTCGACTAGGTGTGCGATTACAAGCCTGAGATACCTCCTACAGGGTTTATGTGTCACACGAGAAAACAATCTTTACAATCCTTCAGATGAACTTTTAACAGTGAAAATCCGACAACAGAAAGATTTCTGGAATGCATGAAACTAGGAGAAGAAGGGGAGGAGGAGCTCTGCTGGACCTCATCCAGAGACAGTCTCGCTGTCGCTCTTTCTCTCTCTCTCTCTCTCTAGCCTCGAATATATACCTACTTTCAGGAGTCAGCTTGGCGGACTCTTTTCACACATGCGCAGTAGATCGGTTGGTGCCCTGGTCGCTTAGTGGGCACAAAACTTTAACACTTGCTTATCTCTCTGGCGGTTGTCTATCCCTCGCTATCTCTCTCGCGCTCCCTAATAATCCTCGTACGAACCCGCCTGCAAAAAGAGAAGTCAGGGAGGCGCTTTAAAAATCAGGAGTGGTCGTAAGAAGCCTAACTTATAAAGGAGGACACATTTATTAACTAATTTCGAGAGAAAAAAGGTAGGTTTGACACATTTTGTGCTTTCTTATAACAAGACAACGGCCGACATAGGCTACTGTTACCGTCATAGTGATAGGGCCTTGGTTTTTACAGTGTGCTTCAGTTCTATGATCGATATCGTACTTAAGTCCACAGGCACAAATTCTGAGTCAAATGAGCAAAGTCAATACTCTAATTAATTTAACCTGTGCATAAATGTAAAGGACTATCTAGACACATGGCAGCACTCATAAAGTGCCTCATAAAGCTCTGACTTGATAACTTGACATTGGGGAAATAAGGAGTAAAATATGACTCAAAATGGTCACAAATGCGAAATGTGTATTGCATGATCTACAAATGACAAATCAGATTTCTGAAATAAAAACCGGGGACATTTCCAGTTTGGTGCTCAATATGTCATTAAAATATGTAATGTTCTGTGAAATAAAAAGGGGTGCAATTCTAGTTATATGAATTATGACCATGTTAGCTGATGTACTGTACTAAACTATGGTGCACGCCAAGTGATAAAATCGATTACTACCAGCCTATTCAGTCCTCCAAAGTTGGTTTGTGTTGTGGGCAGAGAAGGCCATGACTTTGTTTTCCAGGTACAATTTTTCAATGGCCACCTGGACCTGAGTAAATTTTAAACCAGTAATTTTACCTGTACTTAAGTAAAAGTTCATCAAGAATATTTTAGTACTCTTTCCACTTCTGGGTATGTCTTAGTTTTGGTGGCCCTTAGTCTTTTCTGAATGCGGGTCTCATAGATGTCAGAGATGGGAGGGGGTTTGCAGTCGATGATTTTTGAGGCATGTCCAACTGTCCTGTCCAGCTGCTTCTTCTGGGGTTGCCCTATCACACAGATATGGAGAAGGTGAGAACACTTTCTATCACCGCAGTGACCCTTATTTTGACACCCCAAACGTTTTAAGCTGGCGCTGGAAAAAAGTCCATGATGAGCTTTTTTGGAAATGAAATCTATTGTCATCCCATTTCAGAGAGGAGGAGGTTGTTTATTCCAAGAAACTTTAAAGCTGCCCACTCTTTTAACATCCACACCTTTGATGGTCACCTGTGTTCTGCGCTGTACAAAGTCTAAGATCCAATGACATAAAGAGTGTTTGACTCTTAGATGACATAATTTATCAAACCGTTTTAAAAGGGGAGCTGTAGTCCAGAGAACCCGTGCATAAGTGACAGGAACTAAACTGGTAGGGGTCTAGGCTGACTGCATTGAATAGATGTTTGCATACTAGGCACTCAAAGATTTTTTACAATTACAGATGTTAATGCAACATGTATGTAATCATTCGGGCAAATAATGTTGGATTTAAGCCCATGGATTATAACATGCAGGAACTTTGCAATCCTCGAGGGAGTTGTTAAAAATATCAGTGAAGACTGTAGCAAGTGCACCTGCACAACATTGTAGGTTAGCAAAGGATCAAGATCAGGGCCCACAGCGTTCCTGCTATTCTGTCCTCATAGCAGGTTCCTCACCCCATGCTCCTCCATGACAAAGGGGCGACTCAGGGAAATGGCCACTACTGTCTGTCTGATAGAGCTTTGATTGTTGTTAAAGCAAAAATAGAATTCACTGAGACTGTCAGGCAGCTTGGGGTCCTCACTGACCACTGAAACAGTGGTTTTATAGTTAGTGGTCTGTTTAAGGCCTTGCCATACATTCCTGCAGTCATTGGCCTTGAGTTTGTTCTCTAACTTGCACTTAGAGTCAGCTTTATCTTTAATGACCGCTCTTTCAAAATCATATTTGGCCGCCTTGTACTGTTCCTTGTCTCCAACTTTAAAGGCATTGTGTTTATTTCTCCATAGCTGTTTTATCTCTACTGACCCATGGCTTATTGTTGCTATATCTAATCACAGACTTGAAACACACACATTTTCAGGGTTGAAAATGACTGGTTGGGGGTGAAGGAGAGACAGAGAGAGAGAGAGGGATGGAAGGAGAGAGAGATGGGAGGGAGGCAGCCTACACAGTATACACACAGAGGTACAGACAGTAAAGGTGATGTTGCTATAGACTGAATGAATAATGGTACAGATATTTACAGTAATGTTAATGATAATAATCGTAATGTTAATGATTATAATAACAATAATAACAATAGGACTAGTAACAATAATTGTAGCAGAGGGTGTCGAGCAGGAACACGGGGGCAGCAGGTGACCTGCAGCCACAGATCCAGACTCCACAGCTCCAGAGCCAGAAACACCTGCAGGAAGTGATAGGAGGAGAGAGGAGAGGGACGAGAAAGCACAAGACTACCAGAAAGGGGAGAAGTTGAGTTAGTAACATGCAATAATGGGATGAGGTTGCATACAGATGGAGAGAAAGAAGATGAGAGAGGAGCTCAGTGCATCATGGGAAATCCCCCAGCAGTCTAGGCCTATAGCAGCATAACTAAGGGATGGTTCAGGACTCACCTGAGCCAGCCCTAACTATAAGCTTTATCAAAGAGGAAAGTCTTAAGCCTACTCTTAAATGTGGAGATGGGGTCTGCCTCCTGAACCCAAACTGGAACCTGGTTCCACAGGAGAGGAGCTTGATAGCTGAACGCTCTGGCTCCAAGTCTACTTTTGGAGACTCTAGGAACCACAAGTAATCCTGCATTCTGGGAGCGCAGTGCTCTGGTGGGGTAGTAAGGTACTATGAGCTCTTTAAGATAAGATGGTGCCTGACCATTAAGAGCTTTGTAGGTAAGAAGAATGATTTTAAATTCTATTCTGGATTTTACTGGAAGCCAATGCAGAACAGGAGAAATATGATCTCTTTTCCTGGTTCCTGTCAGAACACGTGCTGCAGCATTCTGGATCAGCTGAAGAGTAGTAGTAAGAGTAATAAGGAATTGCAGTAATCCAGCCTAGAAGTAACAAATGCATGGACTAGTTTTTCTGCATCATTTTTAGACAGGATGTTCCTGATTTTCGCAATATTACGTAGGTGAAAAAAGGCGGTCCTTGAAATTTGCTTAATGTGAGACTTAAACGACATGTCCTGATCAAAGATAACTCCAAGATTCCTCACAGTGGTGCTGGAGGCCAGGGCGATGCCATCAAGGGAAACTATATCTTTAGATAATGCATCACGGAGGTGCTTGGGCCCCAGAACATAACTTCAGTTTTATCTGAGTTTAACATTAGAAAATTACAGGTCATCCAGGTTTTAACATCCTGAAGGCACATTTGAAGTTTAGCTAACTGATGAGTTTCATCTGGCTTGATCGATAGATATAACTGAGTATCATCTGCATAACAATGAAAGTTTATAGAGTGTTTCCTGATAATATTGCCTAAAGGAAGCATATATAAGGTGAACAGGATTGGTCCGATCACAGATCCTTGAGGAACTCCATGACTAATTTTGGCGTGCATGGAGGATTCATCATTAACATGTACAAACTGAAATCGATCTGATAAATAGGACTTAAACCAGCTTAGAGCGGTTCCTTTAATGCCAATGAAATGTTCCAGTCTCTGTAATAGGATCTGATGGTCAGTGGTATCAAGTGCAGCACTAAGTACAGTACAGAGACAAGTCCTTTGTCTGATGCAATAAGGAGTTCGTTTGTAATTTTCACCGGTGATGTCTCTGTGCTATGATGAACTGTAAATCCTGACTGAAAATCCTCAAATTACCTATTGCTCTGTAGAAAGTCACACAGCTGTTTAGAAACTGCTTTCTCCAGGATCTTAGAGAGAAATGGAAGGTTAGATATAGGTCTATAGTTGGCTAAAAAATCTGGATCAAGTTAGGGCTTTTTCAGAAGAGGTTTAATTACAGGTACTTTAAAGTACTGTGGTACATAGCCTGTACTGATAAAGAAAGATTGATCATATCTAGTATAGAAGTGCTGACTAAGGGTAAAACTTCTTTAAGCAACCTAGTCAGGATGGGGTCTAAGAGGCAGGTTGATGGTTTAGATGAAGAAATTATTGAAGTTAGTTGGTAAAGATTGAGGGAAGCAAAACAGTCTAAACATATATCTGGTTCTACAGCTGTTTCTAATGTTCCTGAGTTTAGAGATAAGTCGGTGCCAGTTGAGGGCAGGTCTTGGTGAATTTTGTTTCTAATAGTTAGAATTTTATCATTAAAGAAGCTCATGAAGTCGTAACTACTGAGAGCTATGGGAATACTTGGCTCGATAGAGCTGTGACTCTCTGTCATCCTGGCTACAGTGCTGAAAAGAAACCTGGGGTTGTTCCTATTTTCCTCTATTATCGACGAGTAGTACGCTGGTCTGGCATTACGGAGGGCCTTCCTGTAAGTTTTAAGACTATCTTGCCAAATTAAACGAGAATTTTCCAGTTTGGTGGAACGCCAATTCCTCTCAAGTTTCCGCAATATTTGTTTTAATTTGCTAGTTTCGGTATTATAGTGATATCATTTCACAAGTGGACTTGTTGGCACCCTATCACGGTACCACGGTTCACTGAGCTCCTGAGAGCGACCCATTCTTTCACAAATGTTTGTAGAAGCAGTCTGCAGCCTAGGTGCTTGATTTTATACACCTGTGGCCATGGAAGTGACTGGAACACCTGAATTCAATAATTCGGAGGGGTGTCCTAAAATTTTTGGCAATATAGTGTATATAAAAATTATAAAATGGTAAACAGAAATAAAATATATTGCAGGGTACAGTGCTGAGGCCTTTCTGTGAAGACTTGGCTTGTTCTCCCCGTGTCTGCATGGGTTCTCTACGGGCGCTCCTGCTTCCTCCCACCATCCAAAGATATTCAGGCTAGGTTAGTTGGTGATTTAGTAGGTGTGAATGTGAGTGTGAGTGGTTGTCCGTGTCTGTTTGCCCTGCGATGGAGATTGGCTGGAGACATTTGAGTAAATGTGTTATTGTAATAAAGATGGAAGAAAAAACTAATTTAAAAACAAAATTGTACTGAAAGTTAAGGGAGCTGCTGATTGCTGTGTCTACACATTTTATAGAGGCATTTAAATTTAGGCATTACGTTCGGACCACCAGTAGACCGCACAGCAGGCAAATCATCTCAGGAAAAGCACAGGTGTAGAGAAGATTAATAAGGACTGAATGCATGCCACCCAGTTCTACAGCCCTCGCATTCTACATGATGGCTTGCTGGAATGGCCTACTGGGACATTACAAAGGAACAGACTTCATTAATGTTAGTTACAGCTGTGCTTTAAGTCAAATCTGATGTGGGAAAGGTCTACAGCTATGTTGGTTTTGTGTGAACTGATCTATAAGATGATCCTGCAGTTTGGAAAGTGTCCTCTGCTGTCCTCTGCAGGTGATGGCAGTGGCAGTCTCCAGAGATCTGACAGTGCAGGTGCTGGAGGATGTGAACACTGTCAAGTTGACTGACAGACAGCAGGCTTTGCGCGCTGCCATCCAGAGAGGAGAGCCCAAATGTCTGGGGGTGAGTCTAACGTCTCTCTCTCTCTGTGTGAGTGCACCTACATTAGCACACACAAAACCACACCGAGTTGTCCTGATGATGTGTGAGATTTGCCCATATTAAGGACAAGTTATCAAAAGTCAAATAACATGGACAAGAAAAAATATAAGTCTCCTCCTAATACTTCATGTGCCAAATCTGGTGGAAATTGGATGACAATTTCAAGGTGTGGTGAAAAGCAGAAAGCTTGACAAATGAAAACATGTGATATGTGGTTGAAAGCTGCAAAAATCATTAGTAAAATGACCTTTTTTGTCAAAAATAAAAGTTGCAGGGGTGTGTCCACAGAGGGGCCTGGGACAGACCTATATAGAAATCTGATTTGCTTTTACTCGTTAAACAAAAAGGCGGCACAGCAAGAAGGTCGTGGGTTCAAACCCCTGTTGGCCTGGGCTTTCTGTGTGGAGTTTGCATGTTCTCCCCGTGTCCACGTGGGTTCTCTCCGGCTTCCTCCAAAGACATGCAAGCTAGGTTAATTGGTGATCCTAAATTGTCCTGGTGTGGTTGTGAGTGGTTGTTTGTCTATGTGTGGCACTGCGATGGACTGGCGACCTGTCCAGGGTGTACCCTGCCTTTCGCCCGATGTCAGCTGGGATTGGCTCCAGCCCCCCGCAACCCTGTACGCAGGATAAGCGATTGACAATGGATGGATGGTTAAACAAAAAGGATCTCTATTTAAAACAAGTATTTTTTAAAGCACCTTTAATACAATGAAGTTAGTCAATGTACTTTACAGGAGGTAGGATGCAAATACAATTCCAAACTGCTAAATTAAAAATAAAATAAAGACAATCAATAATTAACAGACAATAGATATTAAAACCAAGTTTAAAACAATAGACATCTGTAGGACTGTCCCCGACTAAGATATTTTCATAGTCGAATCAGAAATTTCAAATGTGGCCTGTAGTAGGGGTGGGTTGATAGACGATGCCAGACATCACGACGCTGAGCAGGCATCGTGATTGATTGAGATGGTTAGATTTGCTGCCTCTTTGACACTTGGAGCTGGCCGCAGGACCACAGTTGTTACTCGCTCACTTTCTCCACAACTCCCTGCTGTGTGTTTTTGGTGTTTTGGCAAGCCAACCTTCAACACAGTCATGCTAACCAGCTAGCCAGCTGGATCGTGGATTGGTTACTGTTAATGGATTTTGTGTGTGTATGACTGTGTTGTTATGGCAACGGCAGCGCATGTAAATGCACAGCCTAGTGGCTCCCTTAATTTTCCCTACATTTTGGTTTTTAAAGCCCCCCCAGCAATTCACCTTAACTGCACTGTTCCCCCGTCCACCCACTTTCAGCTTTGCAGCTCTCCTCGCTTCACCTTCCCCCATGCAACAATTCTGTCATTAAGTATTGCAACCTCGCACTGCTCTTCCAGCCATCCACACAACAGTCCCGGGGAGCTTCTTACACCCCACGGCACAATCCAGCTCACAGTCGTAGCTTACCTTCGCTGTTAATGTTATAAAGCGCGTTCCGTATTCCCCAATTGCAGGGCCAAGTAGGACGACTGCCTCTCCATCTTTGATTGGCTCTGTGGTTCGGTGGCATCGGGTTCACATATTATGTCCTTTTGCTTCCCAGCCTGCATTGATGACTTGCTGGAATGGCCTACTGGGACATTACAAAGGAACAGACTTCATTAATGTTAGTTGTGTGAACTGATCTATAAGATGATCCTGCAGTTTGGAAAGTGTCCTCTGCTGTCCTCTGTCGCCTTCCAGCTCCAGCAATTTAATCAGGGCACCTATTGGGGCACCCAGGGCTGTAGTGCAAAACTCCGGACCCCGTGTATAGGCATTCTTGATGCCCCCTGCCCCCATTCACAGCAGTTCATGGTAGCATCTCCGCTGCCCCCCCTCACATGAGGGCCCTATATAGTCAGTCCTCTTACTCCTTGCTGTATGGACATAGCACATTCACCCCTGCTTGCAACCCGTGTGGCACCCTTCCTCATCCAGCCACCAGCTGCGTCATCGCCACTAACTTACCTCATCCTTACACCCCACCCACCACAGCCTGCCCATCTTTCCAAGGCTATGCCCCTGCCGTGCCTCCACCTCCCATCATCCCCCGAACCACCCACCATTCTATCAGAAAACATTGCACACGCCCACGGTCCGATTCTTCAGGAAGTAGACCAAGGGAAGGCCCATACTATACCAAGGCGACAGGATGGTAGCACATAACTTCATCAATTACTTCGCAAAGTTCAAGTCGCTGTGTCCACACATTCCTTTCGTGGGGGTGACGACACCAGAACCTGCCACCCCCATGAGCCCACCCAGCATGGTTTATGGCTGCACAGATAGGCCTACCTCAGACTATGATTTCATCCATGACTTAAATACGCTCCGAAGACTATTCAACTGCCAGTTCGTTCACCTCCACTTCTGGTTCCAGCCAGACATTGAGGTTCTCCCAGATCAAAATCAGAAAGAGCTTTTTTGCCAAATAGTGTTTCAACGCACGTTTGGCCCAATCTGCCATTACCAGCACTTCCCAGGCGTTGTCCATACAACTGGATTTCTATTTTACTCAGTCAGCCCAACGTTGGGCACTAGAGCAGCCCCAGGTATTTAATCCACTCCCTGTCAAGCCTCCTTCCCAAGCTCACATTTCTTACATTCCAAACTATCTTCTCTACTATTGTACCAAGCACCTATTTCTCTCTCTTCACTGGACACCCTCATCTCTGCCTATCCCTATATAATTCAAAATTCTTTGGACCCGTACTCGTCACTCATTCTGCATCGGGCTCCTAGACCACACTGACGAATTCTCGACCGTTGGTCTTCCCTACCATAGCTACGTCTGAAACACCTTACCAACGTTCTTTCCGTAATTCTTTTGGGGGTTCATAAGCAAGCCGCTTATCGAGACAAGCCCCCACCCTGAGTCTTGACCCCCCAGCTTCCTAGCCACTCCGGCTTCCAAACCTTTAACAACCTCCTTTATCCCTCTTCTCTCAACAACTTTATCCCTCTTGTGTCAACCCCCGGGTTCCTAGCCGCTCCGGCCACCAAACCCTAAACAACCTCCTTCATCCCTTTTCTCTCGACCCCTTCATTCCTCTCCTCTCGACCCCTCCATCATAACTACTCCTCATTATCCAATAAACTACCCTTTTTATACTTCTTATTGGTGTAGACCTTGTTAGTGAACATGGAGAGAACTCTGTTGTGAAGTTTGCAGACGACACCACCATCATCGATGAGAATACGTATCGGGAGGAATTCAAATCTCTTGTAGAGTAGTGTACAGCGAACAACCTACTGCTCAACATCAGCAAAACCAAGGAGTTGATCATTGATTTTAGGAAGAAGGAGATAAAGACACACACTCATATCTACATCAGTGGAGCTGAGGTGGAGCAGATGAACAGTTTCAGGTTCCTGGGAATCAGCATCACAGAGAACCTGACATGGTCGTCTCACATCTCCACACTGGTGAAGAAAGCTCAGAAACGACTTAAGGAAACTTAAGAAGGCCAAATTTCCACGCAAGTTCTTGTCAGCTTTTACAGAGGAACAATAGAAAGCATCTTGACTGGAAACATCACAAACTGGCATGGGATGTGCACGGCCCAGGACCAGAGGGCTCTGCAGCACGTGATTAAAACTGCTCAGAAGATCATTTGTACCGATCTCCCGAGCATCAGGGATGTGAGGTGAGGTGCCTGCGCAGAGCCCAAAGGATAGTAAAGGAGAGTATCCACCCAGCCACAGCCTGTTCACCCTGCTGCCTTCTGATTATTATTTCAAGACCACTCAAGACCTTAACTTTGGTATATATCAATATATATATATATATATATAATTTCAACCAAAAACCCTTATTAAAAATGTGTGGTTACCATTAATGACTGTCACCCCTCCCCGCGATGGTGAGCATGGAAGTGTTGTATAAAGATGCTTACGTTAATTTCAGCTCTTACTGTTTGTATGTGGGTGCTTTAATGGAAATGTGGATCTTTCAGATCAATCTGAGAAGTACCTATGATCTCGTTCCACATTTTATTGTGTGTCATGTAATGTGGGGAATGTGGTCTTGGTCTCGACTTGGTCTCAGCCCCTAAAAGTCTTGGTCTTGTCTTGGTCTCGATAAAGTCTGGTCTTGGTCTTGACTTGGTCTCGGTTTAGGCAGTCTTGACTACAACACTAGTGATTGCTCAGGGATAGGAGCCATGCTGGCCCAGCTTGGACTTAATTCTGTTGCTAAAGATCCGGTCTGGACAAAATGGGACTCCAATTGACCAAACAATGGAATTCAAACACTGCTGTCCCCACATCGTTGCCCCATCAACATCCTGGATCAAGCATTCAGTTGGTGGTCCATGTTCCGAGCTGTCAGCGCAATACTTTTTTCATAAATGATGTTTGTTGCTCAAATCCAGTCAAGATGGACTCCCCAAATGTCAGACTATTTATTGTGAAGATGAAACCATATTATCATCTGGTTGCTGCTGTATCCATTCACCCCAGATGCAAATTCAGAAAATGCAAAGTAGAATGTTCTTGGTGTTATGTGTATGTATGTACATAAATAACTGTATATATTGTATTTTAATTTTATTTTATGTTAATATTCAATTAATTCCATTAATTATATGTTGTGTGTATAACATGAAGGGACCACAAATTTTGTTTGTTATGCAGCCTTGCTGTATAATGACAAATAAACAACCTTGTACCTTGAAATTCATCCTCAGCACTGCTCCACTGAATATAGTTTATTTCAATTTAGTTTACCATTTTTTTTAATAATAATTGTTTTTATATTATTGTATATTGTCTGCTACGTAGCAGAAGGGCATTCCAAATTCACATTCAGTTTCAAATTACAACCTGCTATAATAACTTTGCATTGTAACTTGTACCTTGTGTGTGGTGTGTGTGTGTCAGGTGAGTCAGGTGATGCTGGGGCTGATGGTCATGTCCTACTCCATTCCTCTGCACTTCACTGAGGCCACTGAGGTGGTCATCCTGGGAGTTCCTTGGTGGAGTGGCCTGACGGTGAGTCTGTGTGTGTGTGTGTGTGTGTGTGTGTGTGTGTGTGTGTTTGTGACAGAGAGAAAGAGAAATAAGTGTGTTACCTGATTGCTGCTGTTACCCACAAAAGAGGGACTACAGCAGCAGCTAGACCTTCTGAAACAAAATGCCAGAATTGGGCCTTGGCAGCAAACCCCAAAAAACTTGGATCATGATCTTTGAGAAAAAACTAAATTCCACGAAAACGTCATTTCACTGTAGGTGTCACCACCTTAGATCACACAGTGAACTACACCTACCTGGGCCTTCAAATCACAGCATTAGGGAACTTCTGTATGGCAGTGAATGCACAAAAAAAAAAGCTTCTAGATCTCTCTATGCAACTTCCACCCCCTCCCTTCTGGGCTCCTACCAAAACCATGCCCCCAAAACACGTGAACGCACGTTGCCGACACCGCTGGAGGACGAGCAGAGTGTTACGAGCGGAGAGGAGCGCAGTGCAACGGCTCACATCAGGGGTAAGAAAACATCTAACTATATCATTATGAAAACAAACAACTAACCCGGCTGTTAGTACTCACAATCAAACTAGCATGGATAGGTTTAAAAAGACTGACTTTGATTCTGTAATGAACTGCCTAGCAAACTGTTAGCAACAGGTAGCTGGCTAACAGCTGCGGTAACATTGGGCAAAGCTAAAAACAGGCTGATACACATTTTCCTGTTACCATCAGTTATACTACACGAAAGTGAATTTTATGTTAGACTCATAACATGTATGTTGTTTGAGGACTGCACAGCAGAGCCAAGCAGAGACCTGGGACCAGACCAGGGTCGAGGCAAAGCAGAGGAGGGCAGGCAGCCAGGGTCCGAGGAAGAAGTGGCAGAGGACGGGGAGGACGTGGAGCAAGCCGAGCAGCACATATTCATGGCCAAGGGTATCCGTGTCGAGCTTCAAGCTCAAACAATGACATATGAACTGGTATGTATATGCATATATTATAATAATAGTATATTATCTTAAGTTTCTCTAGTGTTTCCCCCTAAGCCATTTGAGTGTCAAAAATAATATATATTATATATTATATAAATGTAATCCATCACTATTGTTATTACTGATTACACCACCACTAACTACAGCTCTGCTTTAGCCGTTGGCTCATCTGAGTTATATACGTTTACCTGTCGTGTAATGTGGATCAGAAGTCCTGTTACAAACAACAACAAAGCCCTGTAAAATATCAAATCATGTTGATGAATGTTCTTTCCAATTTGGGGTTCTAACAATTATATATTCCTTTACAGACCAGAATCTGAGGACTGTGGACAACATCCAGACTACAGTGTTTCTATGCACCACACATGGCTGATCTTCCAGACCCAGGACAGAGTAACAGACAGTTCAGTCAGGCAGCATACAGACAGTTTGTACTGTGGCAATATGGAGCACTTGGTCACAGAGTTGTGATACTGAGTTACATTGTCTGGAAGAAATGTGACCGTTATCTTGATCCACTAGGACAATACAGAGATTTAATCCCAGCACGATGTAAGAGGTAATGTCACTAACTGACACAGTGCTACACAAATAATTCCATCCACTGCGTGGATGAATACCTGTACATAGTTAAAAATAAAATATGCAAAAAGCGTATTCTTTCCTGTTCTGGATAATACTTTCATTATTTTTTAAATAAAAAATTAAAATGATAAATGCCTTTTCTTTACTCTTGCAGCATAAACAATCAAGCAACTACATTTATGTCTTATGTCTGAAATAATGACATCCAAATGTGGTTTAACACTTGTTTATTGTTATTATATGCTACTAAAACTAAAACCTATACCACAAATAGATCATTTTAAAAAAATAAATAAATAAAAGTATATACAGGAAGAGACAAGCTGTGTCCAAAGGTGTCTTGACTGAGCAGGAGGTAGAGCGGGTTGGCCGTTAATCGGAAGGGCGGCGGTTCAATCCCTGGCTCCCCCTGGTTGCTTGTCGAAGTGTCCTTGGGCAAGATACTGAATTGCCCCTGGCGGCTGTTCCGCCAGTGTATGAATGAGAGTAATTGTTAGTTTCCGTTTGAGCACTTAGGCTCAGTGTATGAATGTGTATGACTGGTGAATGCAGATGTAGTGTAAAAAGCGCTTTGAGTGGTCGAAAAGACTAGAAAGGCGCTATACAAATACGGAGCATTTACATTTACTGGTTATGAAGACAGTTCAGACTTTGCATGAAGCGTCGTATCGCTGCTGTGGAGATGATTTAGTTGGATCAGGGACACCTGATAGAACCCCATGTTGACGGGGATCATCGGGTCTCCTTTTCTCGGTAATTATATGCATGTGTAAATAAAATCATTCGAATAAATACCATTGATAACACAATCAACTTAAATGAAGGCTTTAGGACAATGCGTGTGCAGCTGATTACACTGTCGCAGCCCTCATTTCAACTTGAAAAACTGTTCCACGCTCAGTGTCCACACTTGGGGAAACACATGAATCTCATGAAAACCTTGTGCGTGCAATAACTGAGAGCACCACTGTTTGCGGGGAATGTTTTGGGTGAAATATTTTGTGAATTTACGGGTGGGTGAAATACCATGAAGTGTCTCCTCATTAAAAGAGATGCTGTTCGCATTTACGCACAAGGCACAGCAGCATAACTTCATAGTTAAATCTCCCTTACATTGTCCTGCTATCTGTCAGTGGTCATACTTGATGCACTAGATGTGATAGTTTGAGAATTTATTCATTTACTTTGGTGCGTTAGTCCAGATGAGCCAACACTCCCAATATGTAAAATACTGTATTACAGGAGTTTGAGATATGATGTAGCACTTAATTTATTCATGTGGCTGTTGTTTATTAATGAACAAGTAACAATAATATTGAGAAAAACATTTGGTTTTACGTAATTTCTTAACATATCTATCTATAGAAACCTCATTTCCTGACTGGCAATCTCTTCTCTCATAGATGACATCTTTGTCCTGTCTCAAGCACCGTAGCTATACTGCTTGCTTGGTTAGGGGAGGGGGGTGGGGGGGTGGGGGGGTGGGGTGCAATTCACAACCCTCACCACTAGATGTCACTAAAACTTTCACACAGAACACATGAAAATTTAGGGCAGTGAAATCAGAATCAGAATAAGAGCACTGCGCTCCCAGAATGCAGGGTTACTTGTGGTTCCTAGAGTCTCCAAAAATAGAATGGGAGCCAGAGCGTTCAGCTATCAAGCTCCTCTCCTGTGGAACCAGGTTCCAGTTTGGGTTCAGGAGGCAGACACCATCTCCACATTTAAGAGTAGGCTTAAGACTTTCCTCTTTCATAAAGCTTATAGTTAGGGCTGGCTCAGGTGAGCCCTGAGCCAGCCCTTAGTTATGCTGCTATAGGCCTAGACTGCCGGGGGATTTCCCATGATGCACTGAGCTCCTCTCTCCTCTCTCCTTCTTTCTCTCCCTCTGTATGCAACCTCATCCCATTATTGCATGTTACTAACACAACTTCTCCCCTTTCCGGTAGTCTTGTGCTTTCTCGTCCCTCTCCTCTCTCCTCCTATCACTTCCTGCAGGTGTTTCTGACTCTAGAGCTGTGGAGTCTGGATCTGTGGCTGCAGGTCACCTGCTGCCCCCGTGTTCCTGCTCAGCACCCTCTGCTACAACGACTATTGTTACTAGTCCTATTGTTATTATTGTTATTATAATCATTAACATTATGACTTACCATTAACACTACTATAGATATCTGTACCATTATTCATTTAGTCTATAGCAACATCACCTTTACTGTCTGTACCTTTGTGTGTATATTGTGTAGGCTGCCTCCCTCCCCTCTCCCTCTCCTTCCTTCCCTCTCTTTTTCTCTCTGTTCCTCTCCTGCTCTCTCTCTCTCTCTCTCTCTCTCCTTCACCCCAAACGGTCGAGGCAGATGGCCGCCCACCCTGAGCCATGGTTCTGCTCGAGGTTTCTGCCTCTTAAAAGGAAGTTTTTCCTTGCCTCTGTCGCCTAGTGCTTGCTCTTGGTGGGAACTGTTGGGCTTCTGTAAATAGCATCATAGAGTACGGTCTAGACCTGCTCTTTTATGAAAAGCGCTGTGAGATAACTGTTGTTGGGATTTGGCGCTATATAAATAAAATTGAATTGAATTGAATTGAATTGACCTGAGGTAGGTGTACTGGTATACAGTATATACAATATGACATAGTAAGAACAGCACTGAAATAGAGCATGGTGAATAAATAAATAATAATAATAAATAAAGTGGAAACCAGTAAACAGGTGCTGATTAGAGACAGAGTTACTGGGTTATTGCACAGGAATTGTTCCTGACACTGTGAGTCAGAAATCAGCTGTTCATCAGAGTGATGGCTTGTGGGAGGAAACTGCTTCTGAGTCTTTTGGTTTTGGCGTACAGTGCTCTGTAGCGCCTACCAGAGGGGAGAAGTTTGAACAGGTTGTGAGATGGATCTGCTGTGATGTTTCCCGCCCGTTTCCTGACTCTGGAAATGTAAGTCCTGTAATGGAGGGCAGGTTGACACCGATTATTTTTTCTGCAGTCCTGACTGTCCGTTGTAGTCTGCTCCTGTCCTTTTTGGTGGCAGATCCAAACCAGACAGTGATGAACGTGCAGAGGACAGACTGGATGATGGCTGTGTAGAACTGGATCAGCAGCTCCTTAGGCAGGTTGAGCTTCCTGAGCTGACGCAGGAAGTACATCCTCTGCTGGGCCTTCTTTATGAAGGTGCCAGTGTTGGGGTCCCACTTCAGGTCCTTTTGAAATGGCTGAATATCTCTCTGCTGTCAGAGATGTCAAGCTGAGGTAACTTATTACCAAGTACAGACTCGGTGACCGCAATTGAAAAAGGGATAAAAAGTCCTGGTTACCAAGAGAATATAGAGTCTGTGAGCACTGTACGACAGGAGAGCTGGAGACAGAGACACATTTTCTCCTGAAATGTGATAAATATAGAAGCATACAGTGGGGGAAAAAAGTATTTGACCCCTTGCTGATTTTGCAGGTTTGCCCACTTACAAAGAATGCAACGATCTATAATTTTAATCATATGTACATTCTAACAGTGAAAGACAGAATCCCAAAGAAAATTCCAGAAAATCACATCATATGAATTTATTAAAATTGATAACCATCTGATGAGGAAAAACAAGTATATGACCCCCTACCAAACAGCAAGTATTCTGGCTCCTACAAGCCAGTTAGTCTTTCTTTAAGACACAGCCCCAATCCCAACCAATTATCTACATCAAATACACCTGCCTCACCTTGTTACCTGTATAAAAGACACCTGTCAACACCCAAACAACCAGCATCCAACATCACCACCATGGGCAAGACCAAAGAGCTTTCAAGTATTTGACCCCCTGGACAAACAGCATGTTAATATTTTGTAGAAAAGCCATTATTGGCCAGCACAGATGTCAAACGGTTTTTATAGTTGGTGACAAGGTTTGTGCACATTTCGGCAGGGATGTTGGCCCACTCCTCCCTGCAGACAGCCTCCAAATCATTCAGGTTCCGAGGTTGTCGCCTGGCAACTCGAATTTTAAGCTCCCTCCAAAGATTTTCAATTGGATTCAGGTCTGGAGACTGGCTAGGCCACTCCAGAACCTTGATGTGCTTCTTCTTCAGCCACTCTTTTGTTGCTTTGGCGGTGTGCTTAGGGTCGTTGTCGTGCTGAAACACCCATCCTCGACCCATCTTCAGCTCTCTCACTGAGGGAAGGAGATGTTGGTCCAGAATTCCACGATACATGGCCCCGTCCATCCTCCCCTCAATACGATGGAGTTGTCCCGTCCTCTTGGCTGAAAAGCACCCCCAAAGCATGATGTTGCCACCACCATGCTTGACGGTGGGGATGGTGTTCTTTGGGTTGTACTCGGTGTTCTTTGCCCTCCAAACACGACGAGTTGAGTTGAGGCCAAAAAGTTCTATTTTGGTCTCATCTGACCACATCACCTTCTTCCAGGCCTCTTCTGAGTCGTCCAGGTGGTGAATGGCGAACTTCATGCGGGCCTGTACATGTTTCTTCTTGAGCAGGGGGACCTTGCGTGCGCTGCAGGATTTCAATCCATGACGGCGTAGTGTGTTACCAACCGTTTCTTTGTAACTGTGGTCCCAGCTGCCTTCAGTTGATTCATCAGTTCCTGATAACTGCACCGACAGTTGGTCTTTTCTCTCCAAGTTGCTTTCCGATTCTCTTGTAGCCCATCCCAGCCTTGTGCAGATCAACAATCTTGTCCCTGATGTCCGTAGAAAGCTCTTTGGTCTTGCCCATGGTGGTGATGTTGGATGCTGGTTGTTTGGGTGTTGACAGGTGTCTTTTATACAGGTAACAAGGTGAGGCAGGTGTATTTGATGTAGATAATAGGTTGGGATTGGGGCTGTGTCTTAAAGAAAGACTAACTGGCTTGTAGGAGCCAGAATACTTGCTGTTTGGTAGGGGGTCATATACTTGTTTTTCCTCATCAGATGGTTATCAATTTTAATAAATTCATATGATGTGATTTTCTGGAATTTTCTTTGGGATTCTGTCTTTCACTGTTAGAATGTACATATGATTAAAATTGTAGATTGTTGCATTCTTTGTAAGTGGGCAAACCTGCAAAATCAGCAAGGGGTCAAATACTTTTTTCCCCCACTGTAAGAGAGCAATATCTATTAATATTGTATTTCAAAGAACTTTAAGATAACAATAAATTAAGAATAATCCTAGGAGAAGTGGGCAGCATGGTGGAGCAATTGAAAGCACTGTGGCCCCACAGCAAGAAGGTCAGGGGTTTGATCATTGGTCGTCCCAGGCCTTTCTTTCTGGATGCTCTCCCTGTGTCTGCGTAAGTTCTCTCTGGCTTCCTCCCACAGTCCAAGAGAGGTTAATTGGTGACTCTAAATTGTCCTTAGGTGTGAGTGTGAGTGAGTGTGCATGGTTGTTTGACTCTCACCCAGTGCCAGCTGGGATTGGCTCCAGCTCCCTTGCTGCCATGTAACATGAGGGACTCATGTTGTGACACAGGTGCATTCAGTGTTCTCTGCTAAATCTTGTTTGTTGTTTACTTTCTATCTGTATTTGTTATTTCTGTCGTTGTAACTTGTAATTGCTAAACTGAATCATGATTGCTTTTTGTTATATTCAAAATGTAAACTCCAAACCACTTTGGCAACATTGTATATCCTAAACATTCATGCCAGTAAATTGAATTGAATTGACTTGATATCATGTGTAGTAAGTGATGTGATGTGACGCAGTGTTCCTCTGTGCTAACTGCCTCCTGGTTGTGTGTGTTCCAGTTCATCACAGCAGGAGTGGTTGCTATCGTCTTGGACAAACACTGCACCATGAAGATTGTAAGTCTATAGACAACACATACACACAAGTGCAGCTATACAGTACATGCATAGTTGTATACAAACAAAGGCTTTCACAGTCCCACAGTTTTAAGATGAAAAATCATATATGTTTGCTTTGTTATAACAAACAAAAAACAGAGCATGTTTTTAAGCAGCTGCTGGCTAATAGTAGGCATCAGTATCAGTCCAGTAGTCACTGCTACAGTACTTGTGCAGCTGCTGCTCATATTGCTACTACTACTTTTCTGACCATTTTAATGTTTTCAATGTGTGTGTTTTTTCAGCTGCAGGTGTGTTTGATGGTGAGCATAGTTTCCACTATGCTGTCAGTGGTGGCTGTGATCATCTACTCTGTGGACATGGACATGAATCCTGAAGTGGCCTGCGTCAAGTCACTGCATGGCAACTGTAGCGAGACACACTACGCCACGGTTGGTATCAGCTACCTTTCATATCACCATGCTGTTGTGTAAAAAATGCTTAAAACCTAAACTACTTAAAGGTCCTATGTGTAGTTTTCAGTGTAGTGATGGGATTTATGGCTCTTTGAAGGGAGCCGGATGACATGGCTCCGTTTCTTTCCGAGAGTCGGCTCTTTTTTCCCCAAATACTGTAGCTCTTCATTTAGTACTACTCCTGTTGGTCATTACCTAAGTTACTGTTATTTGTTGCAAGAAATAAATATGCAAGCTTCTTCATCTGCAATACATTGAAACATTCTGTCATATTGATGGTTAAAAAGTGGGATATGTCAAGAATAACATAAATAACCCTACTAATGAAAATTAAAAAAGTATTGTTAATAAATAATACACAACTCTATAGAGACACAAAGTGTAATTTGATCATTGTCATGCTTTCTGAATGATGGGAGGCACTCTATGGATAGTGAATGATGGGAGCAGACAGGAGTCGGCTCCCATCATTTCATTCATAAAGAGCTCATAGAGCTGACTGGTTTGCAACCAACATATCACTTTTTCAGTGACCTCTAGAGGTGAGGTTTGAGATTACAACCACTACCTTTCCAAGCGTGTACTTGTGTGCGTGTACTTGTGCGCATGTTCATGAACGAGACAGCATCACACACACAAAAGCCATTCCTGATACATCAGTGTCGTGTATCTTTCATCAGAGAGGCTCAGCAATGTCAGCATAGCTAAATCTGCCCCACTGATACTGCTGTGAGCTGGCATTAGGAGGGGCATGACTGTATATCTGTATGTTGCTGTGTTGTACTCACTGTGAAAAGAAATCTTCCACTAGGACAATAAATCTAAGTGCTGACTCACATCATCCTCTTGCATACTTCCTCAACTTTAGGCGATAGGAAGCAAATGAAGCAGTTAACATAAACTATGTGCCTATATGCCAATGCAGAGAAGCTAAGACAGGAGAAATATGGGCTGTGTTCGAAACAGAAGGCCTTGATACCGTAATAGACAGCTCCCTCAGAAGGCATCACTTTCAAGTGAAGGCAGCTCTGTTTACAATAGTTTCGAACAGCCTTCTAGGGCAGCACTTACAGCAGCATGTGACGTCAGCACGCCATCTTGCAGCCTTAGCATCAGCTAACTAGCTACTGAAAAGCAAAACAGCAAACAGACGTCTCAGAAATCATACTGAACAAACGTGGTTGGTTTCAGTCACGGGCTAATATTATAGTTCAGTGTTTAGTTCTTGCTAGATTGTCAAAAATCGAAGCCAGAAAACTACTAAATACGTATATTTGTGTACAAATTCAGCTTGTTTGTCCGCCATCTTGACCAGTTTTGGAAAGCTCTGGCGGCGCTTCTTTATGGGTAATAGACAGCATCAAGTCACCATCGATGCTGCCTTCAAAACTGGCCGTTACTGGGGCAGCTTGAAGGCATCTCAGGAGACAGGAAGAGATCGTCTCGGGTTACGTATGTAACCCTGGTTCCCCGAGAAGGGGAACGAGACACTGCGTCCGTTACGACACTATGGGAACGCCTCTAGGCGTAGCAGGTCTGAACGTGAATGAAATCACTCCAATCCTATTGGCTTGTTGCTAGAACGGTAAGGTGTGACGGAATAACCGGAGGAGTATAAAGCACACCTGTACACACTCATCATTAGCTTAAACTTTGAAGCAGGCGCTTCAGGCGGGGAGAGAGAACCAGGGGGACCAGGGTTACTCGAACTGCGTCGGTTACGACACTATGCCCCAGTGTGCAATAAAGTGGCACGACTAAGAGGAGAGTGCACGAGTGCCAGATGCCGAAGGAAGGTCAAGACTGTAAAACCGAATCAATGTGTGCGGAGTGGCCCAGCCAACTGCTAAACAAACATCCTGCAAAGAGGCCCCGGAAAGGAGGGCTCGAGAGGCTGCTATGCCTCTGGTAGAATGAGCCCTCACAGCCTCAGGTGAAGGCAAACCGCGCACATGATAGGCCAGGGAAATAGTCTGAACAACCCAGTTGCTAATAGTATGTTTGGATGCAGGGAGCCCAGCCCTGGGGGACCCAAAACACACTAGCAGCTGGTCAGCCTTCCTCCAACGGGAGGACCTCAGAGTGTAAATACTCAGTGCTCTGACAGAGCAGAGCAGATGAAGTCTCCCGTCCTTTGCCGTCACATGAGGTGGAGGATGAATGCCTGCAGCACTGTGGACCCTGCCGCACAAGAAGGCACTTTAGGGATGTATCCTGGACGAGGGAGCAGGATAGCCCTAATATTCCCCGGGGCAAACTCCAGGCTTGTGGGGAAACCGAAAGCGCTTGGAGATCCCCCACCCTCCTCAGAGAGGTGATAGCAAGGAAAAGGCCATCTTGAGGGTCAAGTGATTAGCCTCAGCTGACTCCAGGGGTTCGAAGGGGGCCTCAGCCCACGCCCCAAGAACCACCGCCAGATCCCAAGTGGGAACCTTGGACCGAGTCGCAGGTCTCATCCTCCGGGCACCACGGAGGATCCGTGTGGATGGGGCCCTGGAGCTGAGGAGGGTCTCGACTGCTCCGGCTGTTGGACCCGCCTCCAGGTACTGTGCCCCCTCAGGCGCCAGACTCACAGTCACCATATGGCGGGGCAAGGGTGAAGAACCCGGCCCTGCGCCTGGGACAGCAGGTCTCTCCTCAGAGGGACCCGCCACGGCGGCCGTCCAGGAGCGATCATGATGTCCGAGAACCACACCCGGGTTGGCCAGAACGGGCTACGAGCAGTAGATCCGACATTGTCGGACCCGCTCCAGAAACCCCGGGAGCAGAGCGACTGGGGGAAAAGCGTACAGACGTAGCCTCGGCCACGAATGTACCATGGCGTCCAGACCCAACGGGGCTGGAGGAACGAGAGAAAACCATAGTGGGCAGTGCGTAGTCTCTTGAGACGCAAACAGATCCACGTCTATGGGGCCGAACTCTTTGCATAAGAGCTCCACCACTTCGGGTGAAGTCTCCATTCCCCGGGCCTCAGCCCCTTCCTCGACAGCAGGTCTGCTCCCTGATTCTGCGTCCCCGGGAGATACATCGCCCTGAGCGATAGTAACCTCTGCTGGGACCACAGGAGGATCTGACGCGCCAGTCTGTACAGAGGGCGCGAGCGCAGACCGCCCTGGTGATTCAGATAGGCCACCACCGCTGTGTTGTCGGAACGAACCGGGACGGTGGCCTTGGAGATCGGGCAGGAAACTCCTTTGAGCCTGGAACACCGCCAACATCTCGAGACAGTTGATATGCCACTCGGATTGATGCACCTGCCAGGATCCCCTTGCAAAGCGGCCGTCCATGACCGCCCCCCAGCCCGTAAGGGAGGCGTTGAAATAACCAGCCGGTGACAAGACCCTCCCAGCACGGGCCCCTGGGACAGGAACCAAGTTTCCTTCCAAACTGATAGGGAACAAAGACACTTGCACGTAACCCAAATCAGACGGAGAGGATTTCCCCTTGGGGAAAAACCCTTGGTCCTTAGCCACCACTGCAGGGGTCTCATGTGCAGCAGTCCAGATGGTATTATGCTGGACGCAGCCGCCAGGAGACCCAACACTCGTTGAAAGTGTTTATAGTGATGGCGTGGCCTAACTTCACCCCTTTCACAGCAGCCAATATGGTGTCGACACGTGCCGGAGACAATTGTGCCCGCATCGAATCCCATACTACCCCTAGGAACGTAGTCCGTTGGGTGGGCGCCAGCACACTCTTCTTTGCGTTGAGCCTCAGCCCTAAACGCCGCAGATGAGCCAGAACGACATCTCGATGCCGAACCGCCAACTCTCGAGACTGGGCTAGGATGAGCCAGTCGTCGAGGTAGTTGAAATTCGGACGCCCTGGAGCCTCAGCGGGGCCAGTGCTGCATCCATACACTTGGTGAATGTGCGAGGGGAAAGTGCCAGGCCGAATGGAAGAACCCGATACTGGTAAGCCACACCACAACCTCAAACTTTCTGTGAGAAGGACGGATGGAGACGTGGAAATAGGCGTCCTTTAGATCTATCGTGACGAACCATTCCTCGGATTGGATGTGCGTCACGATGGCGGGGATGATGAGCATCTTGAACCTGAATCTCCTCAGAGACCGGTTAGAACCCGCAGATCCAAAATAGGGCGCAGCCCTCCGTCCTTCTTGGGGACTATGAAGTACCGGCTGTAGAACCGGCGTCTCTGTCTGGGGGGAGACACGTTCCACGGCCCCTTTCCTCAGCAGAGTACAAACTTCCTGTCCCAACACCGGACCTTGCTCCGGGCGGACCACAGTCCAAACCACCCCGTTGAATTTTGGAGGGCGGGTTTTGAACTGTAGTCAAACCCATGCGGGAGGGGAGAAAGACTCCCCTACCCCGGTCTTCCCTGAGCTCCGTCGGGACTGGATGACGGTCCTCAGATCGCGTCTCTCAGAAGGCTGAGGGTGAGAGCGCCGTCTCGCTGCCCCAGCTCCTCGGGGGGCCCCCGAGAAGCGACACTCTGCTTCCTCTCCTCTCCGTAGGAGCTCGTAGAGGGAAGGGACCTATGCCTGGCAGCCTCAGCTGCCTTGGGTCCAGACCGGCAGGGAGGTACTGGCGGAACGCTTCGCCCTGCGTCTAACGCTCCGTGGTTCTGCGAAGCTCGCCAGATCTTCCTCAGAGGGACCCCCTCTGAACCATCTCCTGTAGCAGGTCAGCTTGGTAGGCTTGAAGCACCGCCATGGTGTGCAAGCTCGCACCTGCCTGGCCCGCTACCATGTACGCCTTCCCCACGAGCGTAGATGTGGTGTGACACGGCTTGGAGGGTAACGCCGGCTTCTCCAGGGAGGACACAAGTCGAGGGGAGAGATAGCTCGCAAGCGCATCCTCCACCTGAGGCATCCTCTCATAACCACGGTCCCTAACCCCCATCACATTACTGTAATTCAGTGATAGGGATGTGGAACGCCGTGTAGAGAAGGATCTGACACATGATTACTCAGTTCATCATGTAAATCAGGAAAGAATGGCAGAGACCGGCGTGGAGGTGGCGTGTGGTGCTTAAGAAACCTTTCATCAAGCTTACCACTACCCTGTGGTGTCTGCTCCTCCTGTGGCCAGTTGTGTTGAGCTTAGCCACGGCTCTAGTCACCACCTCCAGCAGCACGTCATAGTCGGGCGCCGCCAGATGACGCCGCCCCGACACCCGGAAGTCATCGTCCACTACGCTGAGCACGTCCGCCTCCTCGGAGTCGGATTGCTGCAGCGTCTCCGGATCCAAACGCGAGCGGGAGAAGCCGAGAACGGGCTCCCGAACGAGGAAAGGAAGCGTCGGAGCCAGCAGATGAAGGTCGGGAAAAAGCCTCAGCCGTCCCGAAATCTCTGACGTCGCTGTGAACCCCATGAGTGAGCTGCCGGGCCCGCACCACGGGAAAACACATCCGGCCATCCTCGGAAAAGAGAGAGCCATGCTGTACCTCAGTACCCGCATGGAAAGGGCTTCGCAACAGGCGCAGGCAGCCCCCTCGAGAGCTGCCCGGGCGTGCTCCATCCCCAAACATGAGACAAATCTAATGAGAATCTCCATCCGTGATGTACCGAGGGCAAGAAAAAAAACACACCTTCTGTACATCTGGTTGCCGGACATGCTGGTAGACTTCTTCTTCAGGTAAGACACACTGCTTGTAAGACTGGAGCTTTCTTCAAACAACATACAGAGCGCCTGCTGAATAGAAAAAAGCTAATGATGAGTGTGTACAGGTGTGCTTTATACTCCTCCGGTTATTCCGTCACACCTTACCGTTCTTGCAACAAGCCAATAGGATTGGAGTGATTTCATTCACATTCAGACCTGGTACGCCTAGAAGCGTTCCCATAGTGTCGTAACCGACGCAGTTGAGTTCCCTCGAAGGGGAACCTTCGAGCCATTTCGAACAGCACTCGATGCCTCACTGTTATGTTAGACACCTTCTGAGACAGTAGTTCAGCCCGTTTCGAACACAGCCATGATCTTGTTTCCTGGTTCCTGTCAGAACACGTGCTGCAGCATTCCTAATCAGCTGAAGAGTCTTAATGGAATTTCTGAGCAGCCTGATAATAAGGAATTGCAGTAATCCAGCCTAGAAGTAATAAATGCATGGACTAGTTTTTCTGCATAATTTTTAGACAGGATGTTCCTGACTTTCGCAATATTACATAGGTGAAAAAAGGCAGTCTTTGAAATTTGCTTAATGTAAGAGTTAAATAACATGTCCTGATCAAAGATAACTCCAAGATTCCTCACAGTGGTGCTGGAGGCCAGGGCGATGCCATCCCAGGAAACTATATCTTTAGATAATGCATCACAGAGGTGCCTGGGCCCCAGACCAATAACTTCAGTTTAACATTAGAAAATTACAAGTTTTAACATCCTGAAGACATATTTGAAGTTTAGCTAACTAATGAGTTTCATCTGGCTTGATCGATAGATATAACTGAGTATCATCTGCATAACAATGAAAGTTTATGGAGTGTTTCCTGATAATATTGCCTAAAGGAAGCATATATAAGTAAAGAGGATTGGTCCGAGGACAGATCCTTGAGGAACTCCATGACTAACTTTGGCATGCATGGAGGATTCATTGTTAACATCAATCTGATAAATAGGACTTAAACCAGCTTAGAGCAAACTCCCTGATAACTGCAAGTCTGCTGAAACTTTTAAATTAAGACGGAAGACTTTTCTTTTTACCACTGCCTTTAATTAAATAAAATTTAAAGCCGTAGATTGGTAACTTTCACTGCACTGTAACCGGCTGTTTTCTTTTTTGTTGTTTTTAGATTTTCAGTGAACACTATTTACACTGTGAGAAACGAATAGGTAATTGAGTGAAAACATGAAGAGAGTGAGATTGAACAGAGTGAAGAAGTGGTTTTAAATCTCGCGCCTGAGTGATTTGCAGAACCCTCTGTCCACCTGTAAACGCACAAGTGGGTCCAGAGTATAACTGGATCAAAGCTGCTGCGGACAGACATGTCCTGGTTTCTCTGTAGTGTCCGAGGGTTTCTGGGGTCTCCAGCTGATAAGTTGGGTTTGCTGTGCGAAGCCTCAGACATAACCAAACACAGTGGACCCAAATGCTATTGCTATGGACCGAGTACAGACTAGTTAGAGAGAGTAGATACTTCTGTTTATTCTCTTTTCAAAGACAAATAATAATTGTAACTCAATTATTTGCTCAACCCCTCAGCCAGTTTTTATTTTCTATTTAACTCTTTTAACTCTGAATGTACACTGTACTGTAGCTCACAGCAAAGTCATGGGTTCAAACCCCGGTCACCCTGGCCTTTCTATGTGGAGTTTGCATGTTCTCCCTTGTCTGTGTGGGCTTCCTCCGGGTGCTCCACCATCAAAAACATGTTAGGTTTCTTCAGTCAGTGCATTGACCAGACACTGACATAAAATCTAGAGTTGGTCCCCGGGCATTGTCTGTTAAACTTTATCCAGTATTTTAAACTAGACTTACATTACATTGGTATTCTGAATACTCAGATTTAAAGTTTTGCACAAAGTGACACTTCAAATTTCATTTTGAATGTTTGGATGGTGCTGACCAATCAGAAATGCTACTATGAGTTGTGTGTGTGAGAAAATGAAAATAAAAAGAAGCAGCAGTGTTGCAAAACAGAGTCACGTTGTGGCGTATGTATTTCTTCCTCTAGGGAAGTGGAATATTTGTTTCACAGTTTGAGCATGACGTTAAGCAAAATGTATCCATACAAATGATTTTAAATATTTTAAAAAGACTAGTTGTTTAAGAAAGGGATTAGATTGGTATCAGTATCGGCAGATACTTAAAGTTGCGGTATTGGTATCGGTAAGGTGGTATCGAGCCATCCCTAAAATCCAGTGTGCAGGAGTACAGAGCTTAGCAATTAAACATGCCACAAAAACCTGTCCAGCAACTTAAATAGAAAGGTTTCCCAATTACAATCTTTGAACATATTGTCCATTTGGCTGGATTCTTCACCATAAAGATTCCAACTTATCCATGTAATTGTTCTTCTTCTTATTAATTTATTAGGTTTGATGTAAGACTTTTTCATGCCCAAGTATAGTGAATTATAGTGTTGAATTACTGTATGTAAAGTGGACAGGCACACCTGCCTGCTACCTTGACAGTTTGAAGTTACAGTAAGTGTATGCCTGAAAGTGGCTGAAAACACTGAAAGAATTTTCCAGACATTTCCAAAGACCCCTGTCCACAGAGAAAATGTATGTGGCTTATTGGATATCACAGTCTTTATTTATTTCAACATACATCCAAAAACTTGAAGTTAACATTAAAGTCCAACATTTTCCAACATTCACCACTTTTTCAAGCAGTGCATGATAACTGCTAAGTGTGCTAGGAAACTGATGTAAAGTGAAACGTTTCTACAGCCTAGAACAGCACTTACTTTTATGAAAATCTGTGTCATTGTGCTAAGTAATTTCCTGCCCTGTGTTGCAACATTTTCAAGGATAATCATGGGGGTATGGTAACATGTTTTATTTGAATAAAAGTGTTTAAGTCAAGGAAATCAACTTGACTTGTAAAATAAAAGTATAAAAAACTTCCTTGAGTCCAGTGTAGATTTCAGTCAGCTACCACAACTCATTACGGTCTGAGCAAAACTGTGTGGAGTGTGTGGTTTTGTGCTTTATCTGTAAATTAAATAAAATGTACCTCACTGGAAACCACTGTGAGAGACATGTACATGTAACTGGGGACTAGATAAATTTAAAAAATACATACTTCCACCTCTCTGACAGCACTCCCAGCTATTGGAAGAGTGTGCCTGCTGTTATACCTAATGCATTTGTTTGTTTGTTTGACTGTGAGTAATGTGTCCTTTAAAACAGAGGCTGAGCAGAGGAGTGAAGTCGTCCCTCCTTCTCTTCACCCTGGCCCAGGCAGCCATCTCTGCCATTCTCTGCTTCCTTCTCTTCAGGCAGAGACGCAGCTTCGGACAGTATACTGTAAGATTCTAACACTTTCTCCTAATTAGCAAAGACTGGATTCATCTTCTCAAAGTGCATTAAATGCTGTAAGACAAGTGCTGATATGTTGGCCTTGTATTACTAGGAAAACTGGTTAATCAGTGTGGTAAATTTAGTAGAGATTTCTTGCTGTATTCAGTTGCTCCACATGTTGTTTGTATTCATATTTTTACATGGTGTGACACAGGAGCGGATTTTCAGGAATAATCCCGGTCCATTTGAGGCCGAACCGGCCAGTGTTCAAGAGTTTTTATTTTTCAGTTTCTTATGTTCAACTTAAAACGAGCCGCGACCATGCTGGCCAGCTGCAGTGAAAGCTGTCTGTGTCTATCAGACTAAGGCAAACTACTTTCAGTTACTTTCATTATTGCTGAAATCTGATTGGCTCAATATAAGCATTTATGTATAGCCATATAGGCATTATTATATATTTATGTATATTGTAGTGCTGGGCAGCTATTAAAATTTTTATTCACAAGATTTTCTGTGATTAATCACATAGTTATGTGCTAAATTGAATAATGAATTCTAAAGTAGTGTATTGTGCATTTTTAATTTCAGTATACTGCTATCTACACAAAAGTGCAGTAACGTGTTTTTTTTTTTTTTAAACAAATGCTTTTTATCAGCAGTATTCCCTTTACACAGTAAATCTCAACTTAAACGTTAATGTACTCAAATCAAATATTAAACCAAAGCTATTTGCCACTGCCAGGGCATTACCTTTTATCTAGCTTGTTAAAACAAGTTAGAGTCCAGAGCCACAATCAGAACATCATAACAAACACCTTCTGAGCAACAGGGTAACAGATATAAATCTGTTTTTTTGTTTGTTTTTTTCTGAAAAGGTATCAACAGAAACATTTTTCTTTTATCGGGGAGTAGCGGAAACACTCTATGTTCAGTAGCATGTGTCTTTGTAAGAGAGACTGATCCTCGCTGTTTGTGAGTTTCCAGAATCTATTACTGTTTAATATATAGTTATGAGGACATCAGCAGGAGGGGATTGACATGGCAGAGAAAAACAAGATGCAAAAGTAGATGTAGACCTATCAGGTAAACTTATAACTTACAATTTTAACTTAAGTTAAATAGGCTACGGCTGTGTAGTGCACAGAAGCCGTACACTGCTCTATTTTATGAGATTGCATTGTAGTTTTTGATTATATTATATATATTTAGCACTCTGACTGACTCAGGCTTGCCTGACCTGGTCTTGTTCAGTGCAGTGAATGTAAATGCCCTGTACTTTTATAGCGCCTTTCTAGTCTTTTCGACCACTCAGAGCACTTTTACACTACATCTGCATTCACCATTCACACACATTTATTCACTGAGCCTAAGTGCTCAAACAGAAACTAACATTCACACACATTCATACACTGGCGGAGTAATTATTATTACTGTATATGTCAGCCATGATCAGAAGGAAGCAGATTACAGAGTAAAATTGGTTGCTTGATGAGCAAGGGAGGAGAGGAAGTATCACATTATAATAATTTCACAGTAAGATAATTTGAGAGTGAAGTCACATGAAATAATACCATATAATATCAAAGTTCACCACAGTCACCAGTCAGTGCTCAATACAAAGCCCACAAGTCAACCACCTATGAATGGGTCCTTCTCTCAGTTCAAATCTCCAGTGTCCATATCTCAACCAAAACCTCCTTTTCTGGATCCCAGCAAACTATTCAGTTTGAGTTTAAATACAAAAATTGCCTAAAAAATTGCATAAGTGTTACATTATGGAGGATTCCTGGGAAACAGTTCAGTGAGTCACATGATAACAGTTCAGTTAAGACATCAAATGACTTGGACAGTAACGTGTTACTCAATAACGTGTTACTGTAATTTCACTGGCAAGGACCACGCCACAACAATATGTCATTTAAAGGTTTAATGAATGTTCTGAATGTACAGATAAATAAATGGATGTAGAGGGGAATGGTGGTGGAGAAAGGATGCCATCTGGATGCTGATCTGGGAGGCTGCATGATGAGCGGGCAGCTGAGACTCAGAGTGGGGGTTCTGTCTCGGTAGAGGTTTCGCCCGAGTGATTTATTGACCTTCAAAAAGAGTCGGATTATATTGCGCTAATTCGTGTGTGGGCTTGATGGAGATCGTTGAGATTGTCGTGAATGTATGAATGTTAGGTCTGGGATGACCAATGGCCGAGGATCTTAATGGTTTGGTCGGAGATGCCTGATCTGGCTGCTGTGGAAGCGGCGCCGATGCGTAATAAATGGCTTGAATAATGTTTGGGTGATATGCCTGAAATGCAGAGGATTCTGTTCAGGTGTTTCTAGAACCAGAATCGAGTGGCCGTTTCTCCTGTTTTGGTGAGGAAAAGTGGGTGTTGTGGTGATGCCTTGGCTTTATACCTGGGATGTTTTCGGATAGTGGCTCGTAGGGGCTGAGATAGGAGCTGAGGCAGAAGGGAGAATGTAGATGGGGAAGGAAACTCCTAGCTGATCCGTTTTACTTCTTCAGAGTGTGAATATGAGAGAGTTGGAGGTGTGAATAGTGATGTCTGATAGACAGGGATACGGGAAGGATTATTGGTGGATGACGTAGGGGCGAATTCTGAACACCTCAGGAAGCCGAAGAAAGCCAGCAAAAACATGGATTCTAGAGTCGAGTTCCCAGTATGTGCCCTGGTTGAATTGCTGGATTCGGCTGGCTGCCTGATTATCAAAATGCATGTGGTATCTGTAGAAACCTTCCCCCCAAACCGTAAAGCCATGTCTAACACGATGGAGAGATAATCGTCCAACTGCTTCCTCTGAGCGGGGAAGGCTAATCAGATGGTGTCGCGGAAGAAAGAAATGGCTAGATCAAATTCTGTTAGAGTTAATTCCCTAGCTCTGGAGGGTGAAAGGTAAGGGAGCTGGTCTGCAGGTTAGTCTGCATTTCCCTGGGCTGACTAGTGTCGATTATGGATGGTTGGAGGAGCTGGGCTAAGTCTATGTAATTACCGGCGAGAATCTGCTGGCGTAATGCGGGGGAGATGGGTGAAGGTCAATGGATTGTTGGCTGGCTGAGTGGCTGGTGCTGCTGTGGCTAGGGAGAAGTTGTTAACACAAGCAAATACATTCGGGTGTTGGGGAAGGGAGGGGGTGGGGATGGGGGGTGTTAAGAACAGGCCAGTTGGAAAAGATGTAGGAAGCTCAGGATCACCGCTTTTTATGTCTGGTGAGGCCCTTTGAGTTGCTGTGCCGGGCTCCTGAATTGCTGCTTCGACTGTTTGGAAAGAGGGAGGAGCAGAAGCCGTATTGCTGTAAGCAGCTGAAGGAAGGGTAGAGAAAGGGATGATGGGATGAAAGGATGTGTGTGCACGGGAGGAGAGTGCAGCCTGCGGGCACAGGGATGAAAAGAAGGCCGAGATTGCCTGAGACATGGCAAAAATAGAGGGAGCAGGCACATGGGGAAATACAACCTGATCCCCACCAGGGGGAGCTGGAGATGAGTGCCGTCAAGGCCCTGTGACGTGCGTAACGCCGCTGGCCATGGCCGACTGTGGCGGGCAGCCCGGAAGCACTGGAGGCACGGTGGATGGTATTGCCGGAGGGTTGATGGAGGCTTTGTAGAGATGGAACAACGTTGTTTTATTGTCGTTACGGTGGAAGGATATGCCTTTCCCTCTGAGGAACCGTTGAAGGCGAGCAACGGTCCAATCTCGAATGTCGGGCTCAGTTTGTGGATGATAAGATGGTCGTGTTGCGGAGGAGGGCGCTGCGCCATGTAGAGTAGCCAGCGTTTGAATGATGAATGCTGGCTGCTGCCGAGGAGAGGTTTGCTGCCAACTCCCCCGTCTGTGCCTGCGACAACCTCAAATTCTTGATCTTGCTGGCTGATGGGATAAGGCCTGAGAGCTGCGGGGAGTGGAGGATATTTCTTCGGAGGAGATAGGATCCTGAGCGACACCGTGGTGCTCACCTCGGATCGCAAGCAGCTCCCCCGAGATGCTTGGCTGGTGTCTGACTGCTGTGGTGTAACTGGGACATAGCCAGTTTGGAACAGGTCATCTTACAGGCCGTCATCTGACTCGGGTGAGTAGATTTAGAGTTCCGGGTCCATGATTGCAATCGTTTACTCTCTTGCATCGAGCAAACAGAGACAGAGGAGGCCGGTTGAATAGCTCGGGTGTAGATATATTTGTCAGCTGATTAGAGGTGTGGTTTTAGGCGTTGCCCTGCTCCTGGACCTAAGTTAACCAATTAACTTCATATAATTACTTTTCCCATTTTTCCAAAACAGTAATAATATTACAGTTACTACTGAATTACTGTGTTGCCAGAACGGCTCTTGTTTTGTTGTCCTTGTTTTGTTGCACTTGAATGTGCGACTGTGCAGCAGGTCAGGAGCAGTTCAATCCGAAAAGCCGGACCATATGTTGTTCAAGTCACCGCTTTAGCCAAAAAGCTAAAGGAAGAATGGAGAATGAGGGAGAAAGGCGTTCTTTCCACAGCTGGAAGTATTGCCATTATTGTGTCACAGACACAAAGAACATTGTCGTCCGATGTAAAGTTTGTTTGACTAGCAAAAAGCTTTCAATTACGAACGATTCTATATCCAATTTACTGAAGCATCTGCTAAAGCAGCAAAGTAGAGGCAGTGGTGGTGATGCATGCACTCATCAGGAGAGAGTGGCATTAAGCAACGCTTGATGTTTTGTAAAAAAAACAAACAAAAAAAACAACAATCTTATAAATGCATGTGCAAACAGTAGGCCAAAAGTCGGGAAAGAGTTGCTTGATTTTTTTATTTCAGAGAGTGGCGTGTAAAAAAAATACATACTCCTTGGTGTCCTTATGAATATGTTATTAGTTAAATAGTCGGGAGAGATTGGCTTTGCTTTTTATTTTGTTAAATAGGCCAACTGTATAGGCTATACATAACCTAAAACCATAAAATTCAAAATGGACGACTTCCTGTTGGGTTTAGGGTATCACTCCAAGAGGCTTTTTGGTATGTCTGGACATGATACATGTGCCACAGAAATTTCATACATGTAGGTAAACGTGCCACGGGGGCTGCTTCGTTAAAGGTCATTTCTTTTTGCCAGCAGGTGGCGCTATGACCATGGTTGAATGTTGGCATGTACATGTGTTCAGGGCGGGACTCTTAAACGTGTAAAATTTTGTACAGATCTGAGCATGTACAGTAAAGTTACAAAAACTTCCAGTGTCATTGCGAAGCGTAGAACTTCACCGTCACGCCACTGCCAAGGCATTAAGTGAAAATTTACTAATTTTGCAACCTCGCCTCATTAATCTCATTAATGTGTAAAGGGTTTCCTGGACAGTTTTGAAGTTCATATGTCCAACCCAAGCGAGAAGCTTCCGGTCTACAATATGAAGCCGATGCGGAAGACCCTGAAACCTGCGTTCTATTGAAAATCCAGCAGGGGGCGACTCTTCTGGTTGCAAAAAGAAGTCCGGCTCCATTAGAAATAATTGGAAAATGACCCTACTTCTCAGCTGAGTAATTACCCCAGTAAACACTTTACTGATGAGTTTACGGTCTCAGTTGCTAGTTTCAGATTCGATAGGGACCTCACACGTTTCGTCGATAGAGACCTCACACGTTTCGTGCACGGCCCTAAAAATAATCCCTTCAGTTTCAATAGGGAGCTCGCACGGTTTGTGCTCGGGCCCTAAATAAGCAGCGATTTGTGGGTTCAAACCTTTTTTCGCATTAACAACATCAAAATAACTTCACACACGTGGTTAGATATTGTTATGAAACAAATCCTGCAAATAGAGAATGATGAATAAATAAATAAATAATAAGTGGTAACCAGTAACAGGTGGGTGATTAGATGCAGAGTTGCTGGATTATTGCACAGGAATTGTTCCAGACACTGTGAGTTAGAGTCAGCTGTTCATCAGAGTGATGGCTTGTGGGAAGAAACTGTTCCTGAGTCAGTTGGTTTTGGCGTACAGTGCTCTGTAGCCCCTACCAGAGGGGAGAAGCTGGAACAGATTGTGTCCGGGGCGAGATGGATCTGCAGTAATGTTTCCTGCTCATTTCCTGACTCTGGAAAAAAGTCCTGAATGGAGGGCAGGTTGGCACCAAAGATCTTTTCTGCAGTCCCGACTGTCCGTTGTAGACTGCTCCTGTCCTTTTGATGGCATCGCCCTGGCGGAGGGAGAGAAGCCGCCCAGGCGCCTCCTTCTCCTGCACCTCCAAAGGAGGAGTAGGAGGAGAGGCCGTGAGGCTGGCCCTTGCTGACCACCGCGTACCTGGAGAGAGCGCAGTCGCGGAGCGGCCTAGCGATGTAACACACTTCTGCCTCTTCAGAATGGAAACTTGCTGGCTGGCTCTCAAACACCAGGGCACACTGTACCAGGAAGCCATTGCACGTGCCTAAAGCACCAGAGAATTTGTCTGGGTGGGAGACTGGCGATTTGGGGGGGAACGGAACACCGGCGGGGGGGCACAGGCTTAAGTCAGCGGCCAGGGACTGAGGCGGAGATTGAGAGGGGGACCAGGGCTGCGTGAGGAGGGGATCAGTGAAGCGCGCACCGAGGCGCTGCACCTCTTCAGTGAGGAAGCCAAGCGCGCCCGACACAAACTGGAGATGAGCCGCGTGTCGGTCGAGCATGGCTCCCTCAGAGGCCACAGCGCGAAGGACTTCTTGGGGTATAGGGCCAGTGGAAGGGGGTGGGGAGGGGGAGCGTGCTGGGTCCATGATGGCTTGATCGTTCTGTTGTGAGACGGGACAGAAAGGACCCAAACGCAACGCTCAGAGGGAAGGAGGTTTATTGAGGGTTTACGGAGGGGGCTAGGGAAGTGGTGAGGGAGGAGAGGTGGACGCGTGGGCACGGAGGACCGAGGAGCAGGCGAGGCGCAGGTGGTGAGGCGAGGAGCGGGGGGAGCCGGGAGGGCGCCTTGGAGGAAGCCCGAGAGGAGAGGACCGGAGGATGAGCCCAGCAGACAGGACGGAGGACAAGGGTGACTGAACCTGGGAGGAAAGCAGACAAAGAGACAGGGTTAGTGACAGAAGCGACAAAGCACAGGGGAATTGAGAGGAATCAAAAACATGAGAGCCTGAACGCAGAGGTGGCACCGGGTATGGAGCAATGATGATCAAGCGAGGATGGTGTGGAGAACCGGGGTTGAAATACAGGCAGGCATGAGGTTGATTACTGGCAGGTGTGGCAGGCTGACGAGGTGGCTGATGAGGTGCAGGTGCAGGTAGTTGGCTGGGTTCAGGAGCGGAGGGAGAGAGGATGAGAACACAGGCAGAGCAAAACAATGGGAGAAATAAAACGAAAAAAAGAAAACCAGGACACTCAACTCCTGAAATGGAGGAGCAGAGAAGTATGTTGCGACTCTGCTTCCTGGTCTCAACTCTGGATTGTCATGGATTTGGTCCACTAATAAACTTGGCCAGATTTCTAGAAATGAGAGCTGCTCCTTCCCAAGTGGGATGGATGCCATCAGAATCAGTCCGGGTCTTCCACAGAAAGTCTGCCAATGATCTACAAAGCCCACATTGTTTGCTGGACACCACCTCGACAACCAGCGGCGGAATGACGACATGTGGCTAAACACTGGTCAGATTTGGCAGGGGTCCAGAGAAAACTACGGTCTCCGACATTGTTTTTGCATATGTACACACTGACTCAACATTAATCTCAGTGACCTCCGATTGGCCGGGAGTCATTACCGCCGACGTGAATAACAATCTTACTGTATTTACGTTTATCCTTGAATTTACTGGTTCCCAGCCCACTCAGGCTTGGACCCCTAACTTGTACCCCTAATTATGAGCAATATACTGACAACTGTATGATATGAGAAGAAGAGTAAGATAGATATCCAAAGTGCTGACATGAATACTGATGCTCTCTTTCTGTTTTTTACAGTCTCTCACCGAAGCGGCTCCCACAGCACTCATACCACCCGACCTGAACTGATCAATAATTGGACCAGTAGTCACTGAGATGATGGATCACTTCTCATCATGTGGTATTCAGATTGAATTTGTCTGTCTGCTTGTATCTAGGCCTATGACTTATCCACTGTGCTTCCTGATACAGTCCCCTCCAAAAGGAACGGTATGGCAAATTCCATTGTTTTTATTGTTCACTGAAGACATTTTAAGATCAAAAGATGAGTATGAGACAAGAGTTCAGAATTTCGGCTTTTATTTCCTGGTATTCACATCTAGATGTGTTAAACAACTCAGAACATACCACCCTTTGTTTGAACCCACCCATTTTTCAAGCGAGCAAAACTATTGGAACATGTGACTGACAGATGTTTCTTGTTGCCCAGGTGTTGCCTTTTAGGTTGATTGTCCAAACATTAAATATCCATCCACATCACCAAACTATTGCATTCTTCATTTGTGATGCTATTCATGTGATGCATGACTAGTCTAGGTTTTCATCCTTGGTTCAAAACTATAAAGACTGCATTTCCTGTTAAAGAGGCTAAACCAACATGAAGACCAGAGAGCTGTCTACGGGAGAAAAGCAAGCCACTGTTAAGCTGAGAAAAGAAGGAAATCGACCAGAGCCGTTGGACAAACATTGGGCATAGCAAGCACAACAATTTGGAATGTCCTGAAAAAGAAAGAAACTACTGGTGTACTGAGCAACAGACAGCCAAGGAAAACAACAGTAGTTAATGACTTTGATGATATTGTTAGAGCTGTGAAGAAAACCCCCAAAACATCAGGAAGTGACATCAGCAACGACCTCCACAGTGCAGGGGTGAAGGTATCACAATCCACTGTTGGAAGAAAACTCAGAGAGCAGAAATATAGAGGCCACACCACAAGATGCAAACCACTCATCAGCAGGAAGAATCGGAAGGCCAGATTGAAAGAAGTACAGAGATGAGGCGCGAAAGTTCTGGAACACAATCTTATGGACTGATGAGACCAAGATTAATCTCTAGCAAAGTGATGGAAAGGCCAAAGTGTGGAGAAAGAAAGGAACTGCTTATGATCCGAAGCATACAAGCTCATCTGTGAAGCATGGTGGCGGTAATGTCGTGTCTTGGGCGTGCATGGCTGCTTCTGGAACAGGCTCATTAATATTTATTGATGATGTAACCGATGATGGTAGCAGCAGAATGAATTCAGAAGTGGACAGAAACATTTTGTCTGGTAATTTACGGAGAAATGCATTGAAACTAATGGGGAGGAAGTTTATCATGCAGCAGTACAATGAGCCAAAGCACACTGCCAACAAAACAAAAGACTTCATCAGGGGGGAAAAGTGGAAGGTTTTAGACTGGCCAAGTCAATCAGCTGACCTTAACCCAATAGAGCATGCATTTCACCTCCTTAAGAGGAGACTGAGTGGAGAAACACCCCGAAACAAACAAGAAGTGAAAGAAGCTGCGGTAAAAGCCTGGAATAGCATCACAAATGAAGAATGCAACAGTTTGGTGATGTCGATGGGTCGCAGGCTTGAGGCAGTTATTGTAAACAAGGTTTATGCCACCAAATATTAAACGTTATTTACTTCAAGATTATTTGTTCCATTACTTTTGCTCACCTAAGAATGCTGTGGTCTAATACAAACGGTGGTATGTCCTAAGTTGTTTAACATCTACATGTGAATACCAGGAAATGAGAGCTGAAATTCTGAACCCAAATGTCTTCAGTGAACAACTAAAACTAAGGAATTTGACTTACCGTTCCAATACTTTTGGAGGGACTGTATGTCACCAGCTGAGGAGCATTTGCTTTCAAATAGTTTTAATGAATGTCTGTCAATACCTGAATAATCGATTATTGGTACATACAGATAATACCTTTTAAACACTGGTAAAATGGTTAAAATATGACACATTAATGGATTGGAAAGATAGAGCAAAGAAATTCTGATACATGAATAGATAAAGAGATTGTTTTCTGCTGTGGTAAAACCATCATAACACACTTTTGTGGTCATGTGACAATTTATCCTGATAATGGTAGCAAACTGTCTGTGTGGTACAGGACACAAAGCACAGCCATGTGTGCAGGAAGTGGTGGGCATTTTTGTGCCTGCAGGCTCATAGTGCACTGGGGTCACAGCTGGAGATCAGGAAGAACCTCTCACATACACAAAATAACTGAGTGCATAAGTATTCTCTTTTATAACACACCTAAACCATCACCATATAAAAAGTACATTAAAAGCTGCGCCAAGATGACCGTGTAATGGAGCTGTGAGAAGTGTTTTTAGGTTAGGTACAACGTCTGGTTAAGCCAACTTCCTCACAAAAACTTTGTCAAGTAGCCAGGGTTAGGGTTCACTGGTCATCACTGTTGAAAAAACTCCTTGGTTTTGCTGACGTTGAGCAGTAGGTTGGACTCGGTGCACCACTCTGAAAGACTGTCGTTTTCCACCCAACATGTAGTCTTATCGATGATGGTGGTGTCGTCTGCAAACTTCACAGCAGATTTCTCTCCATGTCGGGAGATGTAGTCGTGGATGTACAGCGTGAACAGGATGGGGCTGAGCACGCAGCCCTGGGGAGCTCCGATGAACTGTCTGAGATCTGTTTGTGAGGAAGAACAGTATCCAGTTGCAGAGTGTGGTTTGCTGATTGTGTTGAATGCTGATCTGATAAACAACTTTTTTGGCGCTGATAGAGCCTTCACCTCTCCATTCATCCAGGCTTTCTGGTTGGAGAATGATTTTGTCATCTTAGTGATGAACCAAGTCAGAGCCCAGACCTCCATTTAGCTCCATGTGCCCACACAGATACAGAGCCCTCTGATGTCTCATGTTTTCATGGTGTTATTGCAGATGTCTTTTCTCTCAGTTTTGGAACAGATGTGTGTATGACACAAAGTATACATTATCATGTGCACTGTTATTTTCTAGACAGTTTATACAATGTTATAAAAGATATATCTATCCATTGTGTACTTAGTATTTTATATAGCAGTGTTTATTTTATACAAACAAATTATGTACATATAGGAATTAAACTCGTGGTCCACTGAGATCCATTTTGTGACAGAAGAAGCATTGTATAATAAAACAGTTGAAGGAGTGGGCTGTTGGTAAAAGAGACCTTCAAATACCCACAGAGTAACACGCTATAAAGAGGTAGCACGGCGTTCCATTATTTTCCTGTGGACTTAGCATGCTAGCATTAGCATGATAGGGTTAGCCTTACAGCTGAAGGGAAAACTGATTAAAAACTTAAGTTAGCGAACTCACATCACAGCAGGACTCACACAGGACAGGTTGGATATTATATAGCGCGACCCCCCCCCCCCTCCCACACACACACACACACACACACACACACACACACATACACAATTTAACTTGCCTTCAATCCATAGACTGTACAGAAAAAGCTTCAATCCCAGAATTTGGAAAAGATTTCTGGATTGAGAAAGAATAAAATAAACTTACTTTTTGTCTCTTCAGCTTCTTCTTTTTCTTCTTCTTCTGAAGTATTGTCAGCGATTGACAAACAACGAATTGGCGCATTACCGCCACCAACTGGTATGGAGTGTGAATTGAATGATTAGTACTTATATCATTTACATAAATAAATGTAACAAAATAAAGTCATATCCTTTTTTGAACCAACTGCCTTCTTTCTTCCTGATTTGCCCACAGTAGTCACAACAGCCCGAGTTATGTTTGCCTATTTTAAATTATGTTCTATTAAGTCCAGCACAATGTCCAAATCTAAGTCAATTTAATGTACGATTAACCCCTGAAAATCCCACTTTTCATGCAGTGAGTCCAAATACCAACAGGAAAACAACAGAACACGCCACATGACTGCTCTTCTTTATTAATCCTATCAACACCACATGTTTCAGAGCATTACAGAATATTGGAAACATCTAGATAACAGTTCATGTATGTTTCAAGTAGTCCTCTGCAAAAAACTCATCAAAATACAGTGAAATTAAGCTTTTGTGTACTCGATTGTACTTTCCCTTGTAAATTACTTTCTCTTGCTAAATTGAATGCTAATGGAAGACATGAGCTGAGTTGACACTAGAACTTTTTTTGCGAGGGTGGTGAGGGAGTTTGAAGTAGCGATCAGACAGAGCGTGTTTTTGCAGTGAGAGGTGTCTTTTTCAGATGTTTTCTATTGGCAGTAAGTGATTTGCGAGCTGCTAATGAGCCCTGGGCGCCCTTAGAATCAGAATCAGAATCAGTTTTATTCACTAGGTATGTGTACACATACAAGGAATTTTACTTTGGATTGTACAATGCTCACGATGTGCATACTCATACAATAATAATACAATAACACAATAATAAAGTCATACACAGGCTACACTAGTGTGCACTAGTGTACAAGTATCACTTAGTGGTACTTGAGATTTCGGTAAGTTGTTTTCATTTATTTAAACTTTAGTTCTAGTTAACTGGTAGCATACAGTTCATGGTCGGTGTTAAGCTAACATTTAGCTAGTTACAAAGTAAAGTCTCACATCACCTGTCAGATTTTTAGGCTGTTACATAAGCTGTAGCCTGGGCCTAAACCCAAAACATAGCACTGACGACTGATGACCTAATTAGGATGAGGAGTGATCTGATCCAAATTCCCAAAATTTTATGTAACAATTCCTTGAAAAGGAAAAAAGAAATAGATCTCCTTGCTTATTCATAACAACGATAAAATAATTTTAGGCTACAATTGGTATTGGTATCAAGGGTACTGGTTTTGGTATTGGTATCGCAAAATTGTAAACAATACCAACCCTAGCTGTACTGCTAAGGCTACCTTTGTGATTGTGCTTGCACTGCCTTAGTTTCCTTTAGCAAGACACATTTGTTACTCGCTTCCCATTTGGGAGTTGTTTTCTGTGTCATTGTTCTTTAAGAGATACCTTTTTTTAGTTATTATAAATAAACAATTTTTTTTCTTTTGAACATAAACCTGTTTCCTCATTTCCTTGTACCCTGAAAACATTATTAATAGTTACTTAGCTTCCCCTGGACTTTTATCTGAGGTTCGTAACAAGAACAGAAAAGACATATGTCATATTACAGAAGGGTTTTAAAATAAAATGCAATTTCTAGTTCCCTTCTGCTACAAAGCAGAGAATATAAAATTATTGAATGGTAAACTTTATACACTATGTTGCCAAAAGTTTTAGGACACCCCTCT